GCGGAGGAGAAGGGGCCGCGGCTGCGCATCCCAGCCCTGCCCAGCACAAGCAGGTGTCCCCGGGGGCGGGGGCGAGTGTGCGAGCCCGGGGGAGGGTGGAGGGAGGGGAGTGGCCACGGAAGGGGCGTGTGCTCCCCGGCCAGAGAATAGGTGTGTGTATAGGGGTGAGGAGGGGCCAGCGGGTGAGGATGGAAGGTGAGTGATCAAAGGACGCAGGTGCACTAGGGAGGGAGAGGCTTGTGCAAAAGGGCAGTGTGCAAAGAAAACTGTGGAAGAGTCCAAGAAGACTGTGAGAGCCAAGGGAATGTGTGAGGGGTAGTGAGTGAGCATGAGATGCATTCGAGCAATTAAGCGCTTTTACACAAAAGACTGTGCATGATATGTGCATGATGTGGGGCTGTGGAAAGGAGGTGAGTGTGTAAGGAATGGAATCAGGTTGTATGAGAAACAGAAGGGTATGATTGTAACGTGTGTGTGTGTGAGGAAGGTGAGTGAGCAAGGGAGTGCTAAAGGAATGGGAGTGTCTTTCTTGGTACTCTTCTGCCCTCACCACTACTACACTGAACTGAACACCACACACACACACACACACACACACACACACACACACACAGCCTTTGTTTTTATGGGGTCTTTGACCCTGAGAACCAGTTCTGCCCCCTCATCACATTTTTCTGCCTTCCACTTACATCCTCTCTTTCCTTCCCTTTCTGAAGCTGAGAGAAAAGGGATTCCGGGGGAGCCCACTGGGTCAAACACACTGGGAAGAAAATTAATTAGTAGAAGAGTAATTAACAGGAGAAGGGAGGGGATGGAGCCAGGGACCAAGCGCCAAACTAAGGCTCCTCAATAGAAGGATATAGAGGAGACACAGTAAAAACCATTCAAATGTTTTAGATAAATGGATGAATGAATGAATTAGAAGAAGGGACTGGGACCCAAGCAGATACAGAGGATGGTTTCTGTTCTAAAGACAGTGTGCTGGGGTGACTTCTGTGTAAGACGAGGCTGAAGTGGGGACTGCTGTTAGAGAAACGGAGTTTGACAAACTCCTAGACACTTACCCTAGCCTTCCAGAAGGTTTACAAACCAATCAGCCCTGACAAAGTAGCCAATGAAACGTTCATCTCCTGAGCCCCTTAGCCAGTTCAGGCCTTGAGGTTTTTCTTACTAGTTAGTGTCTCAGCTGACCTTGCCAGCAAGGGCCCACAGCTGCAAGTATCAGAGTGGAAAGGGAGGAATCTGTACTGACCTGTCTTCTATTTTGCCCCAAAGCAACATTTCTATTCATCTTCAAGCCTGAACTCTTACCTCCTCAGCCAGATGGTTAAGGAGGATAAGAATTAGGGTGGGAGGAGTGACAAAGGGTAATAAAAAGGTTTCAGATTTTAGAGTTTCTCACAATGGAGACGCTGATCCGATCCCTACTCCACCTCATCCCCCTAAAGGGCTGGGAGATAAAGAAGTTAGAACCGCTAAGACAAAGGAAGCCAGAGAAACCTACTTGTTTACCTAGACGTCTGAGCAGAGGAGGCCACTTGGGAAAGAGTCTGTGTTCTGGGCAGGGGCAAGAGCTAAGAAAGCTGCCCTGTAGGGAAAGAGGGAAGCACAATGACCCCAAATGAGGAGTCTGCAGGTTTGCAGAAGGGCACAAGTCACCCTTACGCAACGTGGTGGTCTGGGTAGTGGTGGGGGTGGTAACTTCCTTGTACATGCTCAATTCTATATCTATCTATATCACACACACACATCATAGAATATAAGCGCTGAAAAGAAACTTGAAGGTCAAGTATTCCTATCTCTCACCCATCAATAAATTCTCTGCCAGATGGCATCTGGTTTCTAACATCCCCAGGGATGAGTGGAAGTTTGGAAGGGAGGGAGGAGGCTATTGCCTTGGCTTCTTTTGGAAGCCACCCTTCATGTTGGATTACTGCCTTCCGTCCATTTTTTAATCCTAGCTTTGTCCTCAGTTGGGCATTGTCTACTCCTCATTTTATACGACCACACCGTTGGCTACATCTTTATGGGTAGCTGTATCACTACTATAAATGGCTAAGGATTAGACACCAAAAAAAAAAAAAAAAAAACCACCACATGAAACTAGCGCTCGGTAAAAATTTATTGCATGAATGAGTGAATGAAACAAAGACGCAAATGAGAATTTTTTTCCGATGGCGATAGAGCAGAAAGGCGACAGCACCCCCTCCCCGCCCCAATATGGAGAGACTGAGAGATATGTACTGAGACTGGAGACGCACTCGGGCTGGGTTTTCAGCTCAGAGTTGGGATCTGGGTGGCCCAGGTTGCCATGGCACCGCCTTGGGTTCCACCCTCTCGGTCTCCCACTGCCCTGCCGGAGTTAAAGCAGTCAGTCACGTGCCTCGCCGCGTAACCACACTGCTGCTCCTCCGAGCAATGTCAAGCGGTCACGTGTGATAGCAACAGATCACGTGGCTGTCGTCGCCCCTCCGCCCCTTTCCCCGGACCGCTCCCATCGTCTCAAAGCCTCTCTTGGCTTCTCCTCTGCGCATGGGCGGCTGGTCACGTGCCCCGAACGTCCGGCGTTGGCCCCTCCCATCCAGTTTCCGCGCGCCTCTTTGGCAGCTGGTCACATGGTGAGGGTGGGGGTGAGGGGGCCGCTCTAGCTTGGGCCCTGTGTCTGCGGTCCGGCCCGTCGTGTCCAGCTGCCGGGGACCGAACTCGGGTGTATGGCGCCTCAGGACCCGGCTCCGGGGCCCCGATAACGGGCCGCCCCCGCAGCTCCTGGCCCGGGGTAGGGTAAGTGCAGCCCCTTCCCAGGAGTCCCCGCCCCCCACGAATCCCCACGCGTGCATTTCGCGGGATACTTACCGAAGGGCCGCGCGAGGGGCGGGGTGTTGTGATATGGTCCTTTGTGGTCGTAGGGAGGTGTAATTTTCGGGACTGGGGTGTAGGGTCTTTGGTGCAGGAGGTGTGTCGTGTTGGCTCTCCCTTGCGCGGGGCGCGATGGACTCAAGAGGCATTTTTTTATTCTACAAGCTCTCACATGGCTGGAGGGGTTTTTATTGTTACCTGGGGACCAGCCATGGAAGGTTGGGGAGGGTATGGGATACTGGTGTTGTCTTTATGATGCTTTTTGTGGGAGTCGCTTTGTTGCTGCAGACTCTTACAACCCTAACTCTGGAAGGGGATTTTGATAGTTGGAGTCTCTGTGATTGTAGGGTCTCCCCTGATCTGAGAATGGCCACCCCGCGATATGAGCCAGTGGCTGAGATTGGTGTCGGTGCCTATGGGACGGTGTACAAAGCTCGTGATCCCCACAGTGGCCACTTTGTGGCTCTCAAGAGCGTGAGAGTCCCCAATGGAGGGGGCACTGGAGGGGGCCTTCCTATCAGCACAGTTCGTGAAGTGGCGTTATTGAGGCGGCTGGAGGCTTTTGAGCATCCCAATGTTGTCCGGTGAGAAGATGGTGGAGGGTTGGGAATGGGTAGTAAAAGGGAAAAAATCTATAGGTGGGGAGTGGTGGTCAGAAGAGAAATGGGGACCCTGAGGAAACGAGGCCATGCTGGATTAAAGGGGATTGACCAGTGAATGACTGTTTGTCCTGGCCAGGCTGATGGACGTCTGTGCCACAGCCCGAACTGATCGGGAAACCAAGGTAACCCTGGTATTTGAACATGTGGACCAAGACCTAAGGACATATCTAGACAAAGCACCCCCACCAGGCTTGCCTGTGGAGACCATCAAGGTGAGTTGGGTAGACACAGATTGAGAGGTGGATTGGGACTTTTGTAGTAGAACCTCTTGGCGTTTCAAGTATGGTGCCTGGTTTCCAATACCTCTGTACCTCCAGGATCTGATGCGCCAGTTTCTAAGAGGCCTTGATTTCCTGCATGCCAATTGCATTGTTCACCGAGACCTGAAGCCAGAGAACATTCTGGTGACAAGTGGTGGGACAGTCAAGCTGGCTGACTTTGGCCTGGCCAGAATCTACAGCTACCAGATGGCACTTACACCTGTGGTCAGTATAAAGATGATAGCCAAAATGGACTCTGGTTAGGTTAGGGGAATGATCGTCCAAAACAACTGAGAAGTCATATTGTGCTTCATGGTAAACCCTAAGGCCCGCATCTGCTCTTCCTGTTTCCTTTAGGTTGTTACACTCTGGTACCGTGCTCCTGAAGTTCTTCTGCAATCTACGTATGCAACTCCTGTAGACATGTGGAGCGTAGGCTGTATCTTTGCAGAAATGTTTCGTCGGAAGTAAGGGACCCAGGTTTCCTGAACCATCTTGAATTTCCCCAATCTTATTCAGAAACCACATCCATACCCTGCCTATCTTTTCACTTCAGTACTGCTGACCACCTTGCCCATAACCAGAAGCTCTGAAATGTCCTGGAATTTGGAACTGCATGTCCCTTTATTCTCCATACTCTCTATTTTGAGTTGCTAAGCAGTACTCATTCCACTACCATATCTTTGAAATTGATTGCTACCTTGTGCTGCTTCTTATCTTAGGCCTCTCTTCTGTGGAAACTCTGAAGCTGACCAGTTAGGCAAAATTTTTGAGTAAGTGACCAGCAAGGGGGAAAAGAATTTTCCATTCTGAGTCTTCCTTTTTATGTTGAGTCCTGGTTCTGCCCCTGGGGGTAGGGGCTGGAAGGAGCCTTCTAACCAGAGTTCTCCTGTTCCCATAGTCTGATCGGGCTGCCCCCGGAAGATGACTGGCCCCGAGACGTGTCTTTACCCCGAGGAGCCTTTTCCCCTAGAGGGCCCCGCCCAGTGCAGTCGGTGGTGCCTGAGGTGGAGGAATCTGGAGCACAGCTGCTGCTGGTATTGAGCATGGGTGTGGGCCCAGATTAGGGTGAGAAATGGAGAAATATGTAGGAGACCCATACCATTGTAGTGACTGACACTTGGTTGTTGGATGGGCTCCGCTTTTTATTGCTGCTGTGAATGGCCATCCGTAGGAAAGGGAGGTAGAAAATAGGCCATCCCAGGTATTGTTGGGGGTGGGGAGAAGTCTTTTGTTCCGTGGTTTCCTGACCTTTACCTCCCTCCTCAGGAAATGCTGACTTTTAACCCACACAAGCGAATCTCTGCCTTCCGAGCCCTGCAGCACTCTTATCTACAAAAGGGAGAAGGTAATCCAGAGTGAGCAATGGAGTGGCTGGAAGAGGACCAAGAGAAGGAAGAGAAGCTATCATTTCCCTTCCTTTGGACACTTGAGTGGAGAGACCCCCTCCCCACTGATAAGGCAATCTCTGCCTTAGCCTCTGCCTTCATCTCTGAGGCTTTGGATACCCCTCCCCCAACTTTTTACAGAGAATATTTTGCTGCCTTAATGACGTCCCTCTCCCACCCTCCTTTTGAGGCATATTCTTCTGCCCCCCCTTTCCCCCATTTCCCTACACCAAGGGGTACATCCTGTCTTCCCTTCTTCCATACCTTGATAATGGGTTCCTTTTTTTATACAGGAAAAAAAAAAACAAACAAACAGATATGGTCTTTTTTTTTTTTTTTTTAATGTTTCTCAGACTGGCTTTGCCATTAGGGGGTTTGGAAAAACCACTTGGAAGAAGGAGCTTCCTTGCAGGACCTCAAAGACTTTCTTTAAGTCACAGGGCCTAGCAGTCAGTGGAGCTCCTTGGATAGCAGAGAGAAGAAAGCAACATGTTGCTTTTTTGAATATGGGGTAAAATGACTTTTATTTTGATTTCCACTAAACTGCCTCACACTGAGTCTTGCTGATTATAAGAAAAAAATTCTTGGTTTTTTTCTCTGGCTTTGTCCCTGATTTACCCCTGGAGTCAGGCCAGGATGTGCTGAGGTGGTCCAGCATGTGGAAGGGGGAAGAGGGGAAACAGAGCCAGGAATGACTCTAGCCCCATCTCATGCACTCCCAGGAGTTTCCCGCATCCACTTAGGGAGAGGGCAAGTTTTTCTTCCTGTTCCCTATAATCTTGCTCCGACCAAAACATGCCAAAGTTTAAAACTTAGCTGTTCACCCTGTTTTAGGATGTTGCAAAGGGCCTTTCCTTTTTCTAAAAAAAAAAAAGAGGAAGAAGCAGCTTAGGAGAGCAGGAGAGAAGTCAGAAGGATCCAAAGTCTCATAGAAAGGCACTGGGGTTGGCCCGAGGATCCTTCTGATTCCGAAATCTCATCGCTAACCAAACACCAAGGATCTGCAGAAACAGAGAGAGAGAGATAAACACCAGTTCTGAATCTCCTAGGCTAAGACATGTTCAGAAAGGGTGTACATGAAGGAATTGGAGAATGTTAACCTCTGTAAAACTGAAGAAGAGTCCAACACCCCCCAGGATTTTCAGGGCTTCATCTGAATGCTTAAGAAACTTTTCTCCACACATCTGGCATGTGGGGCTTCGGCTCTTGCAGATCTGAGGATAAGACGTATATGTTTGGAGGATGCAAAGTTGTTAAGCTGTCCTATCCTGATACCTGTGGTGACTGTCCTTAAAAATTATTTACTAGAAACCCTACAGGGCAGTTTTACTATGTCCTATATGGTCGATATGAGTCAGAATTGAGTCCAGCAGCAATGGGCTGGCTTAGTTTGCTTCAGTATCTGATCAGTATCCTAAGTAGCCCTGGTGGTGCAGTGGTTAAAGGATTCGGCCGCTAACTGAACGGTCAGCAGTTCATACCCACCAGCGGCTAGGAGGGAGATACCTGGCAGTCTGCTTCTGTAGAGATTTACAGCCTTGGAAACCCTATGGGGCAGTTCTACTCTGTCCTATAGGGTCACTATGAGTCAGAATTGACTTGACAGTAATGGGTTTGGCTTGGGTTTTGGTTTGACCAGTATATCCTGTAGACTAAAATCCCACTTAGCTAATTCCCTAGGCTCTGTGTATCCCCTTTCCCCCACCAACACAGCCCCAATACAAGAGAGCTGCTAGAGGGAGAGGGATTGACATTCAAACCCGTGTATCTGTCCATTTGGACACTGTACTCACCCTGTTTCCTACTTCCCCCCTCCCCTGGACTCACTGCAGTGCACAAAGTATAGTCTTGTTGATATTGGTGTGTGAGGTTGAACAAGCCACAACAATCAAAACTTCTTTCCAGTTCATCCCGGGTCTTGTTGCTCATGACCCACCAAGAAGCATTGATGACATCTGTCTACAGGATACAGGCAGAGGGAGAAATTATTTGATGCTGGTAACGTTAAATATCCCCCTACATCCTGATCCCATTTTAATGCCTCAATTTCCCTATATCAACATAGGGAGTCGACATCCCTCAGAAATAAGAAAGTTTGTGTTGTCACAGTTATGCAGATGTGATAAATACCAGTCTCCTCAGGTTCTCCTGAATCATCTTCATGAAAAATTCGCCAGACTTCCAGAGAAAGCAGAGGGCTCAAGCGTCTGGAAGTAGTGGACCTAAAACTGATCTTTAGGTAGTTGGAGCCAGACTGAGAAGAGGGAGTTGGGGGGTGGGGTTGGGGGCAAGTACTTGAGAGGGTATCCCCTTACCTGTTTGCTTCTGTTAATAGCCAGACATGAGCAAGAGATTCCAAACTGGAAGATGAAGACCAAACCAAGGATAATCATGTACTGAGAGGAAGAGTTATGGAAAAAACAGTCCTAGTTCCTTTATGTTCCACCTTTAATACTCATCCATCTGGTCTAATCTATCCTTAGAATTACAACCATGTCAGCTGAAAACAGTAAAATCATCAGCTCTTGTATAGGGCAGGGCAAGACTTGTCCCTGAGGTTCCATAATCTCTAACTTCTTCCTAGACTACTAAACCCTCCTGAGAGCCCAGGTTCCCCCCATCACTTCAGGTCAGGATACAAAGAAGAGCAGAACTTGGTGGTGGTAGACAGCACCCACCAGTCCAGCCACCGCGATGAAGAGAAGGAAGACTCCCACAACAATGACTCCCCCTATGATGTGGATGCTGGGCACCAGACCCAGGCCCTTACCCCAAGCAGCCACTCCAATGAGCAATAAGCCCACCAGCTATGGGAAACAGATTGAATTAGTGCAGGATACATCTCGGAGTCCTAGTGTGCAGTACAGCCAAAGGCCATACAAGGAGGTTTGGGCAGAAAGGGAGCCTTGAGTTGTGTGTGAACGTAGGGAAGGAAGGGTGTCTATTCGGACTAAGAGTATCTGGGTGCCCCTCTTATCGGAGTTCACATGGCTGAGATGGTGGTGGCAGAGGAGACTCTAAATATAACAATTTGTCTTTTGGGAGAAACTGAGGTTCACAGGCCGGAAGGATGGGCTTTATGTCCATAGCCTTCCGCTCATTCCTCCCAACCCTATACGAACGCCCTCATCACCGGAAGTCCCCAGGAATCCCCTCTTCGCCGGAAGTTCTCGAGAATCTTCCCGGAACCCTCGGCACCTCTCTCCCCACCGGAAGTCCCCTGGAGATTCTCTCCACTCGCCTTTCCGCCCTGAAGCGTCCCCCACCTCCAAAACCTCACCATGTAGACCACGTTGAGGGCGCACAGCGCATTCTTGGAGCAGGCAAAGCCTCCGCAAACCATCTTCCCAGCTCCGGGGACCCAAGTAGTCCCAGGGACTGGGGGGAGGGTCGTAGGGACCGTGTTCTAGGACCCCGACAGCTTCTGTCTCTTTAAATCGAGCACAGCCAAACCCAAGCCTCTGCGCCTGCACTGTCCCACCCTGCCTCTGGATTGGCGAAGCTCCGGGCTAATTCAGGACTTCGATGGCCCGAATGCCAATCAATCTGCATTACGTTACTGACCCGCCTCCCAGCCCCTCCTTCAGGTTCTTCATTGGATGAAACTTAAAACTGAGGACACGGCCTCCGGAGATTCTCATAGAGACCAGATCCTAAACTTCAAAACCCCGGCTTGAAAGCGGAGCTTTCTGTGGTCGGACCTGGAAGAGGGCTAATCCCAGGGAGGAAACTCTGGAGAAACCGGTGAAGCGAGAGAAGTTGGGGCTTCAACGAGCCCGGCTAAAGGGCTCCTCCTCTCGAGGGAATATCCTTCCCCGCCCCTTCCCTCTTGCCCCGCAGTGACCTCATGATGACAGTATTATTTTGTTGTTATTGCGTCACACTCGGGAACACCCAAATAAACAACATACTGAGACATTTAGCCTAGCCACAGAGGCCCCGGGCTGGGCGCAGCAACAGCCAGCAAATCCTCAGACATTTGCAAGTGTGTCCACTAGTACGTTTGTCCTGTTCGGTATCCCCTCCTAACAGGGTGTGAACATGCCAGAAATTCAATGCGAACAATAACGGTCTCGGGCTAATGCATTCCTGTGTGTGACAAAGCCACAGGTACACATACCGGTGTGCTTAGCCTCTTCAGAGTACATACCTACCTGATTCGGGGCTTGCAAAAAATGGCAAAGGGAGGAGTCAGGGATGTGAATCAGTATGAAGGGAAGGAGGAGCCTCCACATTTGCCCTCTGGAGTGGGCATAATGGTTGATCAATAAATGTTTATTATTGAATAAGTGCTTTAAGTCACATAGCTTTTCATGGGAGTGGGAAAAGGCATAGTTACTCTCTTCCCCAGGACAAAGAAGTAGTCTTAGTTGGAACAAATGAAACGCCTCCCTTTAGCCCCACAGAATGATCTAAATTTGTGTACATAAGCAGTATAGTCTCATTGGTTGAGTCAGACTGCATGGGTTCCAGCTTCACCACTTAATAGCTGTGTAACCCTTGGCCAGTTACTTAAGCTCTCTGTGCCTGTTTCCTCATCTGTGAAATGGGGATAAATAACAGTACACCTACCTCTTGGGTTGTTGTGAGGATTAAATGAGTTAATGTATGTAGAATGCTTAGAACAGTACGTGGCACATAGTAAACTCTCCATGTTAGTTATTATTATTCAGGTCATTTTACAGGTGTCAGTTGGTAATCTCAACACCAATTCCCTTATCTCCATCTACACAAATAATCACATAGCTATAATCACCTATCCTTCATAAATCAATATCAGGAAGATATGCAAGAGAAGAGGTATTTGGCAGAGCCAGACAGGTTTGAGTCTTGAAACAGAGGAATTAGGTCAACTTCCCCTCAGCCCCCTTATATTCATCGTGTCCTCAGTTCCTCACCTACCCTCTTCTCTTTCAGATCCTAAGTCAAGGGCAGGACAAAACCTTAGAAGAGGAACTGGCTGACAAGAATCTTGGTTGTATGATTAAGTGAAAAGGGTATCAGAATTATAATCAGAAGACTAGATCCAAATCTTCATTTCACCTCTTCCTGGTCTCTCTGAGCCTTAGTTTCTTTTTCTGCAGAATAGGGAAAATAATCCTACCCCTCAGGACTGTCAGAAGGATGATATATATGAAAGGGTGTTATAAACTAGTAAGTGTTATAGACATGTTAATTACTGTGAAAAATGTAATTGAACACGGAGCATAGTGGTTTTGTGTGGTGATAGGTTACTGTCTTCCTCCACAACTCATTCTCCCCGTACCTACTTGGTCCCTTAAGCAGCTGGTGGTTGGTCATTGGAGCAGGTGCCTGAGGAACGGTTACACTGCAAGGTGCAGAGTGGGTGGTGAGTACAAATGTAAACTAGGATGCAGGACTTTGAGGTTGACAAACCAAGCATGTATGGATTCCTGTAAGAGTTTGGAATTGCACCTGGGACCTGGCTTGACACATTCTCCCAGAACCACCTATCTTAATTAATTAGCTACCTTCTACAGGAGGTCTTACTACACTTGTTAAGATCTCTCCATCCACCTGGCTAGAGAATCCTAGCAGGTGCTGACTGGCAGGGCTGATGGGCCAACACTAGAGGGGGTGGGAGGTACAGGAGGTAGTGCTATCTCAGGCTGTGGGTTTGAAAGTCACCAGTCAGGAAGTGAGGCCGACAGACAGACGGAAGGGCGGGCAGGGGCAGGAGTTCTGGGGCACACCAGAAGGGGCCTTATGGGGGCTGGTGCCTGCAGGATCATGGGCTTTGGGGCCAGAGGTTGCTGTTAGCCTGGGAAGACAGGTCTGGGCACAATGAATGCCCAGCGGCAGCTGGCTGTAGCTGCAGTGAGAGCAGAAGTCAGACGACATGAGGTGACCAAACAGGCTCTGAGCCGCCTCAGGAAGCTTACAGAGAGAGTGGGTGACCCTGAACTTCGGGACAGCATCCAGGCCTCACTGGACAGCATACAAGGTAAGAGAACAGTCAGCTCCCAACTTGGGTATATGGGGGACCAGCAGGGGCATGTAAAGGTTAGCCAGGTCCTGCATTATTTCCCAGTCAGCTACTTCCTAGTCCCAAAGATGGGGCTGGGCTCTAAGGAAGAATACTTTTGGGGAGGATGGAAAAAGACATGGGAGGGGTCATTTTTCCTCTTTCCCCAACTCTGATCCCTCTCCCAGGGGATCAAAATGCAGGTCACTGCTGAGCTGACCCCCTTGGCAATGAAGAAGTGGGTGAGCGTGGGGAAGAAGGGCTGTGACAGACTGATGGTAGACTTGGTTCCTGCTTGGGGAGCCCAAAGCAGGAAGCAGTTCGGGGCAGGAGGTTCTGGGACTGGATAATGTATTCATTCCCAGGACCCACTAAGGATTAGTGACCTCTTGTTCTCCAGCTGTAGAGGAAAAGCACACACAGAGACACATTGAAATACACCATGCAGAGAATCTCAGGCTTCTAAGCCCACAGTAGCACTCACACAACATGTTCTCCACAGCCAAATTGCAGAGAAGTCCCCAGGACTCTTCTTAGTCCCCTCTCCTCCCCATGCTCCTGTTCCTGTCTTCCCCCACACACCTTCCGCTCAGCCTCCTTAGTGCCATTAGAGCAAGTGATGACAACACAGGGAGGAAGTGCTGCCATGGCAACACCATCGCCACATCCTCCTTACCCCCACCCAGGCCTTCAATCCTGTGGTGGGGCCCTGGCAGGGACAGCTCTTCTCCATTCACAAGGCCCTACCACTAGGGAACTGGTGGAACTGGAGGTCATCTCCAGCCTGCTTTCATCTCATTCACCTCTGATATGACAAAGAGCTGACAAAAGCAGGCTACTTTGCTCATGAAAGGTGTCTGGGAGAAGTACATCTTCCATCACATCCTAGTCTCTTCCAACAACTTCAGTCCTGGGGAGTCAGGAGATGTTCTCCCCATCAGGGACCTCTTGCCAGATCTCTCTGATGGTGGAGGCCACCAGAGCATAACTTGGGGAAGAAACAGTCTGACCCCTTCCCATGCCTTCTCCTTCCCCTTGCCCTCTTACCTCCAGTTCTCCACCCCTTGTTTGCCAGGAACTAGAGCAACATCTGCCCTGACAGCATTAGGGGTTGGAAAGGCTGACCTAGGGGGAGTGGACCCATGCTGCCTCCTAGGGAGGGACTCTAAGCCCCATCCCTGTAGAACAAAGGAAGGGGAGAGGTTTAGGGCGTTATTCAGGTATAGGGCCTCTGCTTAGCTCTGGAAAAGAAATGGGTGAGGAGGAGAGGAGGCTGAAATCTCAGAGGAGACTTCACTTCTTCTAAGTGATTTCCCACACTCCTTCCTTAAGAGTCGGGATTCTGTTCTCATTGAACATAAAGGAAAACCGAGGTCACCAAAGGAAGGAAAATTAAGCTACAGCCAACGATTCTCCTTCACCATCGCCTTCAAAACAGACCGCTGAAGGGTACCCTGACCCGGTGGTGTCATCCGGGTTCTACAGATTTTGTGTAGGGGAGGGTGGTGTGGAGAAGCAGCCAGCCACTGGGACAGGACCACCGAGGTGTTGCGTACAGGCCTCTGGGAGAACAAAACGCGCCCGGCATCCTGGTTCTGCCCCCCACCCTCACCCCCTACGGCCAAGCACCACCCTCACCCCCTACAGCCTAGCACGCGCGGGCTCCTGCCTCCAAGAGCCGCCCACGGCGGCACTTATTATAGTCTTAGCTGCGTCAGGAGGGTGGGATGCCAAATCAGGGGAAGCTGAGACTCCCCAAGTCCTGGCGAGGGGGCTCAAACCCTGCTCTCTGCTCCCCCCGCCCACCCCTCCCCCACGCGGCCCAGCCTCTGTTCCTTGTTGGCCTAACTCCTTCACCCTTCCTCGCGGGCTGAAGGACTGAGCCTTGGACTCTAGTGTCCCTAGCGGGGTGGGGGGGGGGGCACAGAACAGACATTTTCTATTCTCTCTGCCTGTCCTCTTTTTAACCTTCTAAAAGAACCCCACCCTGCAAACCTCAGGAGACTGAATGGGAACCCAGGAGAGGCGGGCTCCCGCTGCCTCAACTGCGGAGGGGGAGGGGGTCCTTATAGTTGGGGAGCTAAACCCCCACATGTGGGTAACCAGGTGCGAGGATGGTGTCTCCACTAGCCCAACATTCTTTGGCGGGTTCCCCACCCACCACACACACGGATCTCTCCTCTCTGCTTATCCCCGCTGTTTCCGAGGCACTCTTGGAGCTACGGTTGCTATGGCGACGGGATACATTTTGGTATGGGGGGGTGCTGTCAATTTGTAGACATATCCCTTCTCCCTCCATCTCAAGTGGAGCCTTTCACTCACCCAGGCCCGGGCTCCCTGAGTCCCCTCCCCATCCTCCTCCTTCCTACCCTGCTAAGTTCCACGTTTGTCCCCATCCCAGGGGAACACCTTCCAAGTTCACTCTGGGACAGTCCGGCTCAGGTCGAGGCCCGTTACGGTATTGCATGTGTATGCAGGGGGGTTCTGGGTCGTGGGGAAGGGAACGCGTCCAGGCACCTGGGGGTGATGGGGGGTTCTGGGAAAGGGATTTTAGGATTCCCTACTTTCCCACTTCAGCTTCCTCAGAATTGACAGTGACCCCGAGTGTGCCTCGTTTTCTCCGCGGCCTGTCCACCCGCACGTCGATTTTCACCCTTGTCCCAAAATGCCCCACTCGCAGTTGCACTGCCCGACAGTGTTGTGAAAGAGGGGGCTAGGTTGTTGGAGTAGGTGAGTCCAAGTCCCAGGAAATCCAGCCCAGGCTTTGGGAGGAGAATCCAGTCCTGGGTTTTGCGCCGCCCTCGCAGACAGCGGTGCTGGTAGAGAGGAGGTGAGGGGGAGATCGGGTTGGGGGGGCGGGGGGCCGCCTCCTCCTCAATGTGAGGGGAGCGCCCGGACACAGCGCGCATCCCGACGCAGCCGAACCCCGGCGAGCCCCCAGGACTCTTCGCCTGGATCTCACGTCCCTCCTCTCCCCTCTCAGCCCCCAGACCCGTGGGTTCCCACCTCCCTCCCGCTTCCCTCCTTCCTCCCCCGCCGCCGCCTGTATCTCCATCCCCAGCATCCTCCCTGCGCCCTGCGAGTCCTCCGCACCGCCAGCCCCACGAGCTCCCCACCCTCCTTACGACCCCTTCTCCGACCGCATCCGCGGCCCGGGTCTCTCGAGCCTCATTCCTCGTCCTTGCCTCCCCCGCACCGGTTCCTCTTCTCTCCCAGCCTCCGGTTCCCTTTCTGTCCCTTTTCCCTCCCTATCCCCCATTTGCCCCCACTGCTGTCCTCCCCGCCCTCCCTCGCCCACCTCTGTGCCCCCACCCGGGCCGGGGTACACTGTCCGGCGCGCCTCCCTGGAGCAGCACCAAGGTCCCGGGGCTCCAAGGGGGTGGGCGCACAGGGCGGGGAGCATGGGGAGGGGGCGCCCCGTGTGATGGGAGGGGGCCGCAAGCGGAGGCGGAGGAGGCGGCGGCGACAGCGGAGCCGGGCCGGGGGCTCAGCGGGGTCCGGGAGCTGGGGGCAGCGAGTAGGGTGGCCCCATGGCTGGGCCCCCGTGAGGCAGTCCGGGGGAGTCCCCTCTCCTCCCCAGCTCGGGGGTCTCGGGGCCTCATGAGCCGGGGCGCGGGCGCGCTTCAGCGCCGGACAACGACCTACCTCATCTCGCTAACCCTGGTCAAGCTCGAGTCGGTGCCTCCGCCACCGCCTTCCCCGTCTGCAGCCGCGTCCGGCGCCCCCGGGGCCAGGGGCGCCGAGACCCGGCATCCGGGCAGCCCCCGAGGCGCGGAGGAGCCGGGCAAGAAGCGGCACGAGCGTCTCTTCCACCGACAGGATGCGCTGTGGATCAGCACTAGCAGCGCGGCCGCGGTGGGCGCCGAGCCCCCCACTCTGTCCCCGGCTCCTGCCAGTCCGGCCCGCCCCGTCTCCCCGGCTCCAGGCCGCCGCCTCTCCCTCTGGGCGGCCCCCCCGGGGCCTCCCCTCTCCGGGGGACTGAGCCCTGACCCCAAGCCTGGGGGCGCCACCACCTCCTCCCGGCGCCCCCTGCTCAGCAGTCCCAGCTGGGGGGGGCCAGAACCCGAAGGCCGGGCGGGCGGCGTCCCGGGCTCGTCCTCCCCGCACCCTGGCACCGGCAGCCGGAGGCTCAAGGTGGCGCCTCCTCCGCCGGCTCCCAAGCCTTGCAAGACCGTGACCACGAGTGGCGCCAAAACCGGAGCGGGCAAAGGCGCGAGTAGCCGCCTGTCATGGCCCGAAAGCGAGGGCAAGCCCAGGGTCAAGGGGTCAAAGAGCAGCGCGGGGACTGGAGCCTCTGCTGCTGCCGCCACCGCAGCTACAGCCACTGCCGGAGGAGGCGGCGCAGCAGCCGCGACCTCTGGTGGGGCCGGGGCTGGGCCCGGAGCCCGAGGGAAGCTGTCCCCTCGGAAGGGCAAGAGTAAGACCTTGGACAACAGTGACTTGCACCCGGGACCACTCGCCGGCTCTCCTCCTCCGCTAACAGTCCCAGCAACCCCGGTTCCAGCCGCTGCTATCACCGCCGCCTCCGCGCAGCTCCCCGGGCCTGCACCTCCAATCACGCTGGAACCTCCAGCTCCGGGGCTGAAACGGGGCCGGGAGGGGGGCAGAGCATCCACTCGTGACCGCAAAATGCTCAAGTTTATCAGCGGCATCTTCACCAAGAGCACAGGGGGGCCTCCTGGCTCCGGGCCCCCTCCCGCAACCCCCGGTCTGTCTTCTGGCAGCGGGTCCCGGGAGCTACTGGGCGCAGAGCTCCGCGCCTCCCCTAGTGAGTAGGGCCTGGGCCTGAGAACAGGGAAGGGAGGGAACTAGGAATGCTCAGCTTGGGGTTGGGGAGCGCTGTGCAGGATTGAGCCAGCAAAATTTCTCTCTTGGGTAGATGGGTGAACCAGGTTCACTCCTCTACCAAAGTCTGGGGCAAAAAATAGGAGGTCCTGAAGGGATGGGGGTGAGTAGCCACACCAGTTGTGCCACTTGAGAAACCAGCTGATTTCCGACGGACAGAGCCTCAGGGCTTTGTGGGAAAATAATGCCCTCGGTCAGGGTGGCTGTAGAAATTGCTCCCAGGGAAGCCCCAGACCCCACTTCCAGCCTCTGCTGGAACCCGGGAGCCTGGAAACAGGACTTTGCCTTGTTCAGAGGTACACTGGAGGTGGAGGGGATGAGGAAGCCCCAGTTTCCCCCAAGCACTTGGGGCAGGCAGCTCCTCGCCAGGGACAGGTTCTCCTCAGGGCTGAGAGCAGGGTAGTGAGGCAGTAGGGAGGGACTGTTCCTTTCCGGGCGGTGAAGACTGAGTAGGCGGTTCGGGAGTGCGTGGGGGCTGGAACTTGCTGAATATTTAAATGTAAAGTGAGGGGGGCGGACGGGAAGCCTCTCTTCTCCAAGGCCCACCCCAGTCCCAGAGTGGCGCTGAAACCCGCCGGGGACTGACCCCGAGTCAAGGGGCGAACTGCTGCAAAGGCAATTCTTACCCTGGGAGGCTTGGTGTCTATTTTTTTCTGGAGAAGAGAGGCAGAGGATTCGGTTGATTCGGTTCACACTCCCGGGAGGAGAGGCGGGTCCGTGAGCGGGGGCGGCCCCCGGGGTTTGGCTCCGGAGCGGGTGGGAGCAGATGGCTCCCGATCCCAGAGTTCCCGCCGCAGCTGCGGCGCCCCGGGAACGTCCGGTCCGTGTCAGGCACGGGGGCTGGACCCGGCGGGCGGAGGGAGCATCCTTTCCCCCAGGCCTGTAGCTTCTCTCCGCCAAGGAATGAAGCCCTTCCCCACAGTTCTTTTGGCGGTCGCTTGTGGGGAGGGTGTGGAAGAGGGAGGCTTAGGAAAATCCAAGTTCCATCCCTTGGGCTGTGAGGAGGGGGGCAGGGCCACCGTGCAGTTGACCTTGAAAAGGGGGAGGGAAAGCCCTCACCTCAGTTTCTCTCCTGTGAAATGGAAGTTGAGGAGGACTCACTTCTGCGTCAGAGTCCCAGGATTTGCCCTGGGAAACAGTGGGGGCGGGGAGGAACCCCTCTTCTATTCTCCTTCCAGAGGGAAGAAGCTGGCCAGTGTCAGAGCCCTGGTCTGGGGCAAGGACCCACGTTTGGGGATGTGCTTTAAGGGAGATGCCAACTGAAGTATTTTTGTCTTGCTGGCTCTGTTGCTAAGCAACCACTGAGCGGCAGCAACAGCTGTGGGGAGAGAGGCTGGGATAAGACGACTGGGGACCACTCTCAAACCTATCCCCTCTCCACACCTCTCCAGTCCAGCCATGGTCCTGGGGGTTAAGGGAAGCCGCAAAGGGAGGAAGGGTGAGTGAGGATTGGGGGTTCTGGACCTGGAGCCTCCGCTCTTACTGCGCTTCTTCCATTACAGAGGCTGTGGTCAATAGCCAGGAATGGACTTTGAGCCGCTCCATTCCTGAACTGCGCCTGGTAAGTAACCCAGTCTCCTTTCCTATAGGGACGGCTGACCTCTCACCTGCACTCTCAACCCTGTCCCCTTCCTCTCTCGCCTTCTTTCTCTGTGAGAATGTAAAATTGTTTGCCAGTTCTCCTGAGATTCCACCTTCATAGCACATCCTGGGGCTTGAAACATCCTCACAACTCTCTCTTCTCTATATGCGTCCTTCCCGTTTTTCCTGTTTGTTCGTGGTTCTCTTCCAGGCTGTATCTCATTGCTGGCATCTCTCCTTTGGTCCTTCATGTTCTATTAGCTAGAATTTGGTATAACTTTCCAACTAGTGCCTAGGGCTGTGACATGACAGACAGACACACACGCACACACACACACACACACACACACACATCCAGTATGGCTCCTAAACAAAACAAAACAAACTGGTTCTGAGTTGCTGACATTTTTTGGCTTGTGGTCCACTTGGAGCTTGGGGTCATTTCTTGCTACACTCATGCCCTGATCCTCCCAATTGGTCTCTCCTGATTGACCTTCGTTCAGGCTTGTAGGATCCTTCTTGGATAATTTAACATTGCCAGTTCCTTTGGGCTTTCTGGAGTGCATCCAGACCCTAGGGATTCTGCCTCTTTTTAAGTCTCTGTTCCATAACCTTTCCTCAGGGTGTGCTGGGTGACGCTCGGAGTGGGAAGTCATCACTCATCCACCGATTCCTTACTGGTTCATACCAGGTGCTGGAGAAGACAGAGAGTGAGTTCTTGGGAGCCACAGTAAGCTAACGGTTGGGATCAGGGATCTAGGATCAATGACTAGACAGATATGGAGACCAGAGGGAAGGATGAACCCATGATAACTATAGAACAGGGGCAAGGGGAGGCTTGGTAACCTGTGACCTCTGACATCCTACCCTTCCAGGTGAGCAGCACAAGAAAGACATGTTGGTGGATGGACAGACTCATCTGGTGCTGATCCGAGAGGAAGCTGGGGCACCTGATGCCAAGGTGCGGGGGTGAGGCGAAGGGGTGGGCAGGCTGGCAGGGGTCAGCACTGGCCAAGGAAGAGGGCTCTGGTTTCCCAGGGTGCAGAGAAGTAGACTTATTTGACCCTCCATTTGTTCCCTCACCCCCCGCAAGTTCTCAGGCTGGGCAGATGCTGTGATCTTCGTCTTCAGCCTGGAGGATGAAAACAGTTTCCAGGCTGTGAGCCGTCTCCACGGGCAGCTGAGCTCCCTTCGTGGGGAGGGCCGGGGAGGCCTGGCCCTGGCACTGGTGGGGACACAAGGTAAGGAGAGACTGGGGAAGAATTGCTTTCAGGGGAAGCCCAAAGAAAGCCACTAGGGTATTAGCCAACATGAGCAAGAGCTTGGTAAGGTGTGGAAATGTCCAGTTAGAGTCCAGCAACCCTCTGGAGGAAGCCAGGGCTCCAAATAAGAGAATCATTAAACCAAACACAAACTTCCCGAGGTCTGAGCAGAGAAAAGGGGACCATCCAGGTAGAATGGGACAGTTATAGGAGCAGTCTCCATTCCTCTCCTGAGATGTCATCTACCTTGTGTTCTCACACTGTTATTTCCCGATACCACCACCATGGGACACACAGATCTCCACATCCCTCTAAATCTCAGGCCCTACTGTGGATAGAAGGAAGTCGCCAGGTGGTGCAAACTGTTAAACGCTTGACTACTAGCCAGAAGGTTGGCAGTTTGAACCTACCCAGAGGCTCCTTGAAAGAAAGGCCTGGCAATCTGCTTCTGAAAGGTCACAGCCTTGAAAACCCTACAGAGGGTAGTTTTACTATGCAACACATGGCATTGCCATGTGTGGGAATCAATTCAATGGTAACTGGTTTGGTTTTGGGTTTAGTGTGGATAGAAAGCCTTTTCCAGTCACCTTTTAAAAGAGCTTATCTAAAAACAAAGAGAAATCACAAAGGAAATGACAGAGAAAACAGAGGACGTAAAACCTTTTCATTTCCAAAGTAGTGATTCAGAGGCTCTCAGACTCTCCACTAGGGCCGGGAAGAGCTCTTCCGGTACCCACCTGTGTCGAGTTGGCAGGACTTCCTGCCTGGATGGCCATCCTGCAGGTGCCTGCCTCCACCTGTTGCTTACCTCCTGGTTTCCCGCTGCAGAGTGAGCAGCCCACCTGTTACCCACGGACAGTCAACCTTTTCCCAGTTAACACCCCAGGTGTCTGCCCACTGGGCTCAGGGTCCAATGGATTTGCAGGACAGGGTGATTATCGTTCATGAGCCTCAGCCATTGCAGCAGACCTTGTCAGGAAGCTCCACTGGCCTCTAGAATATTCTCTGAAGACACGCACAGAGAAAAGGTCCTTCCAGAGCTTACCCAGTCTACTTTTACTGCAGCTGGGCATGCGAACGGGACACAGCACTCAAGAAGGGCTTACACACTTCATTCCACTCAGTCATAGGAGGAGTGTTCTCTCTCGCCCCTCCCTAGTGGGCCCAGCCTGGGACTGGAGCACAAGGGAAAGGGAAGGATGTGAAGCGCGGAGGGGACCCCTTGTCCAATCCTGCCCCTTTCCTGTCCCCTCAGATAGGATCAGTGCTTCCTCCCCTCGGGTTGTGGGAGACGCTCGTGCCAGGGCTCTGTGTGCGGACATGAAACGTTGCAGCTACTATGAGACTTGTGCAACCTATGGGCTCAACGTGGACCGAGTCTTCCAGGAGGGTGAGTGTGGTGATCCCTAGTGTGTGTGGAACACGGGGACCTAGGGGCCTGGATATTCTTAGAGATGGGGCATTCAGAACTCTCTGTGAGTGGCAGGAAATTAGCTTCTGTGAGAGGGAGGAGAGATGAGGGAGGTCAAAGAAGGTTTGCTTCACAGCCACATGGTCTTTCTGGGGTAGAGGAGCTGGTGAGGCCACAGGTGGCAGAAGCACAGGGACAAGAAAGTTGTGGCCCATATCATCTCCTAGGGATTTCTCAAAGCTGGGCATCAGAGAGTAGTCTGGGGTGTCTTCCCTGCTCATGCCTCCTCCTCCTCCCTTTAGTGGCCCAGAAGGTGGTGACCTTACGAAAACAGCAACAGCTTCTGGCTGCCTGCAAGTCCCTACCCAGCTCCCCAAGCCACTCAGCTGCTTCTACACCTGTAGCTGGGCAGGTGAGTTGGGGTTTCAGAGTCTATGGAAGGGCTGGAAAGATGCAGAGGAGGAGGGGCTGAGGACCCAAGGGCAGGGACAGGGAGAACAGATGGGAATGGTAGTGACACTCTTTGTAGAAAGTGCATTGGACTGGGAGTCAACCAGGTTTGAGAAACAGTTTACAATGTCCTCGGGCAAGTCATTTAACTTCCCAAAGTTATCAGGAAGATTGTATGGCATAATACATGTGAAATTAACCTTTGTAAAATGTAAAGAACTATACTGATGCTAGTGAGGATTTTTATTATTCATGATCATACAAATAAATGATGATGAGATCAAGGAATGTCTTGAATTCCCCATAACCAGATATAAGGGTAGGTTGGTGGGGTGGGGGCATCTCAGCTATTCTACCAAATCCTTCATCCATCCCCAGGCTAGTAACGGGGGCCACACTAGCGATTACTCTTCTTCCCTTCCATCCTCACCCAATGTTGGTCACCGGGAACTCCGAGCTGAGGCAATTGCAGTGGCTGGATTGAGCACCCCAGGGTCCCTGCACCGGGCAGCCAAGCGCAGGACCAGCCTTTTTGCGGTAATGGAGATGCTGACCCCCATCCTCCTGTCCCCTGTTACCTTTCCATCTTCCCTTGTCCCGAGGCCACTCTGTTGGGCCCTTCCTCTGTCCTCCTGTCTTTCCATCAGTGTATCCCCCTTCCCACCCTCTGTCTGATGTCCACCATTCCAGAATCGTCGGGGCAGTGACTCTGAGAAGCGGAGCTTGGACAGTCGAGGCGAGACCACAGGGAGTGGACGAGCCATCCCCATCAAACAGGTGCATAGTCCAGGGGCCGGGGGTGAGCAAAGGGGCAGCTGGCCTTAGCTGGCTTTTCTCTAACACATGTCTTTCCATACTCCAGAGCTTCCTCCTAAAGCGAAGTGGCAACTCCTTGAACAAAGAATGGAAGAAGAAATACGTGACCCTATCTAGTAACGGCTTCCTACTCTACCACCCCAGCATTAATGTGAGTAGCAGAGACTGGCTGGGCCACATGGGCTGGCCAGGGATGCCCTTCCCAGCTCTACTAGTCTGTGCCCCTCACAAACACATTGTTTCTGGGAAGCCCTAGTCCTTAAGTATAACAAGCCTGTGTTGGGCACCCACCATGTGCCCATGCTGGGGATGTAGAGATAAATACATCCCCTCAGCGATTTGCAGTCTAGTGGGAAAGCACAGAGGAGGGGCCTCCACATGGCCTGCATTCAGGGAATGCTCCTGGAAGAGACAATGTTGGTCTGAGTCTGGTGGGCTCATCCCCTGGAAGTTCATCCCCATGTGGTCAGCTCCCAGAGTCCCCTTTATCCCATACTATTGACTGATTCCCAGCACTACCAAGGATTCCAACCTTCCCTACACCCTCGGCCCCTGTACCTCTCCAGGATTACATCCACAGTACCCATGGCAAGGAAATGGACTTGCTACGGACAACAGTCAAAGTCCCTGGCAAGCGGCCGCCACGGGCCATTTCTGCTTTTGGTCCCTCAGCCAGCATCAACGGGCTGGTCAAGGACATGAGCACTGTCCAGATGGGTGAAGGCCCTGGTGAGTGGATGGGGCTCGTAACAAAGGGTCAGGAGAGGAGCCGGGGCTGGGGAAAAGGAGAGGGTAGTAGGGAATTGGGGGCTGGGACTGGACAAGCAGGAAGGTGGGTGATGAAGAGGGACCGCAGAGGGAATGAGGCCAGGAGACAGAGTGGCTCACTGAGGTTTTATCTTCTGACAGAAGCCACCACTCCCACCCCAAGCCCAAGCCCCAGCCCTGGTTCCCTGCAACCACCACCGGACCAGACATCTAAGCACCTGCTGAAGCCAGACCGGAATTTGGCCCGAGCCCTCAGCACTGGTCAGTGAGGACCCACCCTCCACCTTACAGATTCAAATGGGCAGGAAATGAAATAGGGAGGGAAGCTTGGAGGCTGGAATGAATGCATGCGTGAACACACTAAGCAACTTCTGGGTGCCAGGTACCATGTTAAGCCATGCTGTGTTTATCATAATTGTTAAGACAAGTAGGCTCTAGAGCCAAACTGTCTGGGCTCAAATCCTGGCTTGCCACTTGGGCAAGTTACTTGACCTCTCCATGCCTCAGTTCCCTCATCTGTAAAATGGAGATAATAATAGTTTCTACCTCAGAGGGTTGCTTTGAGGCTCAAACAAACTGAGAACCTTGTCCAGAATATAGCCAGCCATCAGGGTTTGGAATATAGTGAAACCTGTGAGAACCGGAACTCAATGGGACTGCCTTGTTTTCCGGATCTCGAAAGTTTTCTGCCTTTGACAGGGTGCAGTCTTATTACTTTTCTATCACTCATTTTCGTGGAAAATATTTTTTCCGCTAAGCGTTTTCCTTCTCTGACAGGTTTCAGCCTTACATATGTTCCGGCTTTTGCAGGTTTTACCGTATTTGGAAATATGATTTTTCTTTTTTTATGATTTGCTTTTTTATTTTAAATTTTTTCAAACACTAAAATTTACTTATATATATATAAATGTATATATTAAATAGCAAATAACATTGTCATAAGTAATCCTCACAACAACCTTGTCAAGATTATTATCCCCATCTTAGGGATGAAGAAACTGAGGCTCAGAAGATTAAGTGACTTGCTCAAGGTCTCAAGGCCAGTAAGTGGCAGAGCCAGGATCTGAGTGCAGGTCTGACTCTAAACCACTCATCTGCCCACCTTCCCAGGGATGATCAAGGGGGACCTCCTGGTGGGGTATCGTAAATGCCAAAGCTAGTTCAGGGGAGGAGACAGGCTATTGAGGCATCAGGAAATCTGTGGAGGGGGCAACTGAGGCAGCTGTATCCCCTTCTCTAAGACTGTACCCCATCTGGAGACCTGAGCCCCCTGACTCGGGAACCCCCTCCTTCTCCCATGGTGAAGAAGCAGAGGAGGAAGAAACTGACAACACCATCTAAGACTGAAGGCTCTGCTGGGCAGGCTGAAGGTGAGGCCCTGGTGGGCAGTTCCTCTCCCACCCTGGACCCTCACCCCTAACTCCAGATTCCTGGCCTAGCTCCTGCAGGAGGAGGAAAAGTGCCTGAGCTGCGTGCTTGACTATTGTTACTACTTTGCACACATGATTTAATGAAAAAAACGGATAGACATCCCTCAGTCCCTGTCCTTCCTCCCCTGTTTCCCATCCAATGCCTTTCCCCCCAGTGGTCCCCAGCCCCTGTTCTCAGTGACCCCCATAAATCTCTAACTTCTGCTCCTCCCCTAATGGCCCTCTAGGTCCTGTCCCTGCCCTCAACTCCACTCACTATCCCAGTGCCTGTACCCAGCAGCCCCCAAGCCTGTCCCATGACTCCCAGTGACTCCGCCTCTGACCTCAGCATCCTCCATTGACTCCCCAGCTCCTGGATTCTGTGACCACCAACCCTGCTCCCAATAACTTCCAGTAATCACCAAACCCACAATAGCCCTTGACCACAGTGATCCCCGTTCCTGCCCCCGGTAAACCCCCAGATCCCAGTGACGACTCCTGAACTCCGGTGCCCCCTCATCCCAGGCCTGGGACCCAGTTTCTGTCCCCATCCCCATGTTCACTCAGATCCTAACCCTTCCTAACCCTTCCAGAGGTCTGGGTCCTCATTGGTCATGATAACCCCTCCCCACCGCCCCTGCTTTCTGCTGGGTGCTCAGACCAGGTTCCAGATCTGCCTACTCTCATGGCTCTTGGCTTCCACTCCACTCTGCTCTGGGGCCACTGACTTTAGTTCTGCTTTTTCTCCCCATCTGTCTGTCCTGCTTTGTCTTCGGCATTCTCTGTCACTGTCTCTTTCCATCTCTCCATCTGCCTCTCTTTTTCTCCTTCTTTCTTGGTCTCTCTTTGCTCTGTTCCTCTCTCCATTCTCTCTCTATCTCCTTCGCTTCGGGAAACCAGCCAAGCGCAAAATGTGGAAACTAAAATCCTTTGGTAGTTTAAGAAATATTTATAAAGCAGGTAACAAGTGGGGAGCTGGGAGGGGCTCTCATCTGGGGTGCAGAGGGGTGGGGGTGCCCCTGCCTCCCCCTGCATGTGCTCGGGCTTCCTGCTTTCCCCCACCCTTTGCTTCCCCTACCCCCTTCGCCCTACTTCCGGGGACTCGGGACGGACATCAGGGAGGAAGGGTTTGGGCAAGGCAGCCCCTGCGTGAACTCTGTCCCTCATTATCCCATCCCATCACCCCACCCAGAGGAAAACTTTGAGTTCCTGATCGTGTCCAGCACTGGCCAGACGTGGCACTTTGAGGCAGCCAGTTTTGAGGAGCGGGACGCCTGGGTGCAGGCCATAGAAAGTCAGATCCTAGCCAGTCTGCAATGCTGTGAGAGCAGCAAGGTCAAGGTAATCAGTGCGGGGAGAGCAGCGGTGAGTGTCTGAGGAGTTCGGAGAGGGGCTCTGAGGGAGCGTCAGTGCTAACGCCACTCCCTTCCGCAGCTGCGCACAGACAGCCAAAGCGAAGCCGTGGCCATCCAGGCAATTCGTAACGCCAAGGGGAACTCTATCTGCGTGGACTGCGGGGCCCCCAGTGAGCACAAGGGGGCAGCGGAGGGACTTGGGAGGCGGTGTCAGGGGCTAGGGAGTGTGTGGTTCGCTGGAGTTCTTGAATGCTGGGGTGTCCATGCCCCGCAGTCCGGAGCCAACCCCTGCACTCCGTTCCCAGACCCCACGTGGGCCAGCTTGAACCTGGGCGCGCTCATCTGCATCGAGTGCTCGGGCATCCATCGGAACCTGGGCACACACCTGTCCCGCGTTCGCTCGCTCGACTTGGACGATTGGCCGCGGGAGCTGACCCTGGTGCTGACGGCCATTGGCAACGACATGGCCAACCGCGTGTGGGAAAGTGACACTCGCGGCCGCGCCAAGCCCACGCGGGACTCTTCGCGGTACGTGTGAGGGAGCGGGGGAGGGGATGCTGGGAGGTGCGCGGCTTCAAGAGGGTGCCCTGGTTAGGGGCCAGAAGTCCTTGGTTGGGGTCCCTAGAGCCCTTCCGGTTGGTCCCCGGTCTTGCAGGGAGGAGCGTGAATCATGGATTCGCGCCAAGTACGAGCAGTTGCTGTTCCTGGCGCCACTGGACACCACCGAGGAGCCTCTGGGCCGCCAGCTGTGGGCTGCGGTGCAGGCCCAGGACGTGGCCGCGGTCCTCTTGCTCCTGGCCCATGCGCGACACGGGCCGCTCGACACCAGCGTAGAGGACCCTCAGCTCCGCTCGCCGCTTCACCTGGCGGCTGAGCTCGCCCACGTCGTCATCACGCAGCTGCTTTTGTGGGTATGTGAATAGGGGGCAGGGGCCTACCTATAGAAAATAGCGCCTAGGGCAGTTAGTGTTAAATTGCTGAATGATCTCTCACAGCTGGAGATGGAAACTGTGATGGCCAGTAGAAACTGCTAATAGGCGCCCCGCCTGAAGCAGCGCCCAGGGCACGCACAAGAAGCGCTGCTTGCCCCCGTCTCCCCCGTCCCCAGTTAGGCCTCTGGGTCGGGGTAAGGCGGTTTTGAGGGAAAACAGCCTAGCACTGGAAGCCCGGTATCTCCGAAGGGGCCTTGGAGTGGGCTTGGAAATCTTGGGGAGATGGCCTGCGGGTGTCGGCCCCCTGGAGACCCGTCCGCGGTGACGCGGCCGTTTCTGCCCTCCAGTATGGCGCGGACGTGTCCGCTCGCGACGCGCAGGGCCGCACAGCGCTGTTCTACGCCCGCCACGCTGGGAGCCAGCTGTGTGCCGACATCCTTCTCCAGCACGGCTGCCCGGGTGAGGGCAGCAGCACGGCCACCACCCCCAGCGCAGCCACCACCCCCAGCATTGCCGCCACCCCCAGCCCGCGTCGCCGGAGCAGCGCCGCCAGCATGGGTCGCGCTGACGCCCCCGTTGCGCTGGTATAGTTGCTCAGCGGGAGAGACACCCCCCCACCCCACACGGGCCGGGCACTGCCACACCGGGTGGACCTCTGGACAAATGCATCCACTCACCTCTTTGATCCACACCCCAACCCACGGGAGCACTTCCTCCCCCCATGAGAGCACAGCCCCCACCTCCCAGAGGACACAGACTCACCTCCTGCTCCCCAGCGAGGCATGGATACCCCAACTCGACACGCCCCCTCTGCACTATTTCCACGCGAATTCCTCTGGGTCTACCCTCGCGGCGTTTGCCGAAGGGCTTGCCCCCCGCCGCGGCACCGGCCCCTGGGCTCTTGGACCTGCCCGCTCGCGCCCCCTAGAGGCGGGGAAAAGACCCAGACCTGCCTGTGCTCGACAATCCTATGGCGGGAGCCTATACCCAGGCTGGCTCCTGGGGAGATGCTACGCCAGAGGGAGGGGTTAGTACACGGGAGAGCTAGTCCTGGGACTTGGGGCCAATATGGGGGACCCCAGCCTTCCATACTGATCTCACTGCCGAGTGAAGGGGGAAGGGCAGAGAGGGGCAGGACCCCTGCTGCCCATGGGGGTGGGGAGCCCCCAACCCTTTCCGTGAAAGGGACCATGAGGAGTGGAAATCAGGACGTCCCCCCACACCCACCCATGGATGGAAGCTAAAGGGCTGAGGGAGCCAAGAGCCTGGGCCCCTCCTAGCTACTATCTTAGGAGAGAGAAGGGATGGAGCAGGAGCGGGTTAAGAGGGCTGGGGAGGGGCCTTGTAATTTATTGCTTTGTTCCCCAACAAGGGGGTAGGGGCGGGCAGGGGCATGGGAAGGGCCTTTTGGGATAGGGGAAGGCAAGGGTGGGCAGGGGGTGGGATGGGGTGGGGGTGCTCTCGGGTTGTGAGTGTCTGTGACTTGTGACTGCGTACCTGTGACTGTGCAGCCCGTGGTGATGTGGGGTAGGGGGCACCCTGACAATGGGACCTCTCCCCCAGTATTCTCCCTGTCCAGCCCCTCCCTCCCACTGGAGCAGCTCCAGACCCATCCCTCAACCCTATGATCCCTCCCAACCGGGGCTAAGAGGATGTGAAGTGGTTGGGAGGGTTTCCAGGCTCCCTACCCCATCCTCAGAAAGGGGGTGGTGGGGTGGACTTGCCTGGCCCAGCCCTGCCTCCCTCAATCAACCCAGCCCCCCGGGCTGTCTGTGTCAGTGGTTTCCGGTCTTTTTTTTTTTTTTTGTCGGTAAAATATTTTGCAAAGGACCAGGTAATTTGCGGAGGGATGTAGATGGGGGCAAAGGGGAAATGCCCCCTCATCTCCTTGGAGGCAGGTGGTGTGAATCTTCAACAACAATTAAAAGAGGAAGTGATTTTGTCTAGGGGGTGAGCTGCTGGTCTGTTTTTGAAGAGGCGGGTCAGGGAATGGTGGTCAAGGTGAGGAGCTGGGGGCCAGACAGGGTGGGGCCAGAGGGTGCCTCCCACTGGGGCTGGTAGCAGGGTGGTGGGCACGGAGGTGGTTGTCAGATACTCCATCATGTGTGTCACTGCCTGGTGGAAGGAGATGGGCAAGTTGGAGCAGCAGTGGAGACCCTGGGAACAGAGGAGTCGCTGACTCCAGAGATGGCAGCATTCTGGGAGACATGGGGCGTGGTGCTTTGATGAAAGTGTGTCCTGTGGGGTATGCTCAGAGAGGTGAGAAAACGGTAGCTTTGGCCAAGAGCACGAACTTTAAGTTCAGATCTGATTTCAAAACTGGGCCCTCCACTTCATAGCTCGGTGGGCTTGGGCAGATTATCTCAGTGCCATCTGTTTATTTGTAAATGGGGGAGTATCAGTGCCTGTTCAGAGGGTACCTGATAAGCACTTGAGCCCTGGGAATGACTGCCCTGGGCCAGCCTGCTCACCTTGAGCACTGGGTATCAGGAGTAGAGCTTACAGGAGGGATCTGTCTCCTGGCCCTGTCGGATGATGCACGGGAAGGGTGGGGTGGAAGATTCCCTAGCCACAGAGGTCCCTGGTGTCCATGAACTCCACACCCAGCTGATGCAGGCATTTGCCCACCTCCAGGTCATCTAGGGCCACCAAGGCCACAGTGGCCAGAGGTCAGCGCCACGGCCACAAGCTGTAGCACAGTACGGCTCAGCACATAGCCAGCCCATTCCTCGTGTGCAGCTGAAAACACTTGCCCAGACAGAGGGGCCAGGTGGGTCGTGGTAGGTCAGCAGCCAGTGCAGTTGGGCAGAGCCATCCACGTGTCGTTGCCCACCTTCAGGAACCAGTAGACTCACTGCGTCTTCTGGTAGAGCTGGTTCTCAGCCCTTGGAACAACCCATCCTGATGACATTCAGCTGCAAGGTGTGGTCGCAGTGCTGGGCCCAGGTCTGATTCACACAGAGGGCCTGGCTCTGCACAGTCCTAGGCTGGGTGAACACCCAGCACTGCAGCCTGACCTAAGAAGGGTCCAGAGGCCCAGGTAAGGTGGATTGGGGGGGTGCAGGTGAAGTGACAGGTGCAGATGCAGGTATGTGGTCTGGGAACGAAAGCAAGAGGAAAAAGAAGTAGCAAAGACAAAGGACACAGCCATTCCCTCCTTCAGCTCAGAGCCCCTGGACTCCCTCACTTCATCTCCACTTTACTTCTTGGTGGCAAAAGCTCACCCTCTTCCTCATCCCAAGCTCAGGAGTATGAGAGTATGGGGAGGACCCCGAGAAAAAGAAATTACCTGTAATGGGAGCTACAGGCCAGTGGGAAGTTCCTTTAGTTTCCAGTCAGCAAAAGATGGCCAAGGTGTCAGCAAACCCTACAGCAAATCCCAGACACCAGTAAGCCATTCAATTTATTTGTATTTTTATTTTAATGGACTGCATCTTTGGCCTTGTAGGGAGATGTAAAGGGTGGTGGTGAATGGACAGACAAAACATCAGGTTCTCCACGTTGTGGCAGAGTAGAACTCTAGAAGGGGACTCCTTGGATGGGTTCCCTTTTACATCCATGTTGCCTTCACAGCTCATCTTGAGTTTCCTCGCTTGGATTCCTGTTGCCCACCACACCCCACCTTCCTCCCCACCCTTCTGGGTTGCCATCTGCCACACACTCTGCTCCCCTGCTTTTGTTTGCCTTAGAACAGCTGGGCAGATCAACCTTCCCCATGGGAGTTTTACCAAAAGGCAAAGGAAAGTAAGAAGGAATTTATTGTTGAAAGTACAAGCTGATTAAATATAATGAGGCATCCAGAATTTCATCTTCTGATGATGTGCCCCAGCCGCTCCTCCTCCTCCCCATTCTAAGAGATTCTACTGTAACTTCTGATCAGCTTTTGGGATGCCTTCTCTCTAAGGCTCCTCCAAGTACCATCTAATCTTTTCAGAACCTCAGGAGTTGGTTTATAATAAAAAGTTGTTTGAGCACTTTCTGTGAGCCAGGTATTGTGCTAAGAGCATGACACACTTTATCTCACTCAATCCTCACAACCACCCTATGAGTTAAGTGCTGTTACCCCCAGTTTACCAATGAAAAACCAAAATAACTTGTTCCAGGTCACTGCTAGTAAATGGAGGGGTGAGGATTTGAACCCAGCACTCTGACTGTAGCTGCATTCAAGGCAGTTTCTAAGATCTTACACAGGTGAAGCATCCCTCCCCTCATGACAGAAACAGATCTGGGGAAGCAGGGTTTTATAAGTCTACCCATTAATGTTTTAAAATATGACAATATAAGCATAATACGCACACTAAGCATTAGTCCACATTCAGCAAGAATAGGCTCCTTCTCATACAACTTCCTTCAACGATCAAATCCCTCACATTCCACTGTTGGAGGCCTTGGAGTTTCATACCCTCTATCCCTTTCTTATGGTTCCCTGGGTGGTGTAGTTTACACTAGCCTACTGACCGAGAAGTGGGCAGTTTGAATTCACCCAGTAGTGACAAGGAAGAAAGGCCCGGCAACCTACTTTCAAAAGATTACAGTGATTAAAAACTCTATGGAGTGCAGTTCTACTCTGACACGCTGGGGCAGCTATGAGTCAATCAACTCGACGGCAATGAGTTTTACTTTTTGATTTTTATTCCTTTCTTACCTTGTGAGTCAGTGGAGTCTTCAGCAGAAAGGCTAAACAAACACCTCAGAGATGGGAAGCCAAAGGAGTGAGCGAGCCTCCATCCATCTCTGCCTTTAGATCCTCTGCATAGGGCAGAAACAGGAGGGAGGACCGGGCAGCCACACCTGCCCTTGGCAGTGGGGGTGAGGGAACACCTGATAGGAAGTCCATTCCCAAGCCCTCCTCCCCTTGGCACACTAGGAAGCTGGCACGTGTGGGCAGCAGCCCACCCTCGGGGCATGGCCAAGGTGGAGGAGGTCTTTCCTGGAAAAGCCCGACTTGGGACAGCCAGGGGGTATAGGGGTGTGCATGCAAATGCTGCAGCAAGTTCAGGAGAAGGAAGATCCCTGTAGTGGGGTAACTGTGGTGTACACTTTAGCTTCAGGGCATAAAGGGGGACAGGGTAGGGAAAAGAACTGGTGCCAAGGCAGGGAACGGACAGATGAGGAAAGGGAGGGATGACGGTACTACAAGTGTTTAAGTCCTTGCCAGGCCACTCTGCTTTGCTTATCCATCCTGGGCTCTTCCTGTTCTCCTCGGCTCCTACTGATACCAGCTTGGAGGTGTGGAGCAAAGAACAGGATCACAGAATGTGCACACCACCCTGAAGAGAACGCTAAGCCTCATCCCTACTTGAGCCCCCAACCGCCTCCCCACTAAAAGAAAAAAAGACTGATAAATTGACGGTCCAGTTCTTTATTTAGAAACCCGATTGTTCAAGAACACGGTGGGGGTTCTGCGCCCTCACCCTTTTTCACTGGGATTGTGTCAGAGGTCGTGGGCAACTTTCTCTCATTTCTTCAGCAACAGAGGTGAAGACTCCTCAACTCGGAAGCACAGATTGTAGGGGACAATGTGGACAGGGAAAGAGAGGAGGAAATCCCAAAGCAATCCAAAGGAAGGGGTAAAGTAACTCCAAACGGCAATAAAAACCCATTGCCATCAGGTCGATTCCAACTCACAGGGACCCTGTAGGACACAGCAGAACTGCCCCATAGTTTCCAAGGCTATAATCTTTACAGAAGCCGACTGCTGTATCTTTCTCCCACAGAGCAGCTGGTTCAAACCGCCGACCTTTCAGTTAGCAAGCGAGTGCTTTAACCACTATGCCACCAGGGCTCCCCAAACAGCAACAGGGGCAGGGAATTCTCTTAACGGGGCAGGGGGTTGGGGATGTTTGCCTTCTTAGGGCCTGCTAAATGGCCCCACACTTCTTGTTCTCCCTCCCCTACTCCACACAAAAGACCTTACTGTATCTCTAGGTAGGGAGTGGGAAAAGAACCAACAAGCTCGGGGAGGGTAACAGGGAACGCTGGGAGGCAAGGAAGGGGAGGTGGGCCAAATCCTGGGAGACTGAAAATCACAGGCCTGGTGAGGCCTTGAGGGTGGCTCTCAGCAGTAGCAGCAGCACCTACCCCGCAGCCCCTCCACACCCCCAGAGTTGGGGCCCATGAAGACCACAGCTCAGCACCACTCTGCTGTTTTGCCTTCAGGGACCCAGGGTGAAGTGGAGGGGAGCAAGGGAGGCAGGACCAGTCTAGAAAGATTCTGGACTCCTTGGAGGGGCAACTGCAGTGGTGGTCTCAGAAGTCAAACTCGTCCAGGTCCCCTGTGCCCTCCCCATCCTGAGAGCCCCAAACCCGGCGGTAATTGCTCTCCAGCTCTTTCTGCCGCTGCCGCTCTTTCTGTGCCTCTTCAGCTCCCTGCACCTGGTGGGAAGTGCGGGGGGGGGGGGCGGTGAGCTGGAGTTACTGACTTGTGAGCAAGGGGACACGCTGAGCACTTGAGGGTCTGGGGCATCCAGGGACTGGCAACCTTAGGCGAGGCAGGGATTGAAGACACCCAGCCTCCTTCTAGCCTCGTTTTACAGATGAGCAAACTGACGCTTGGGGAGTGATAAGGCTGGGCCACACCCGTGTGACTCTAAACCATGCTCTTGGCCTTAGCATGCTAGAGGCCAGGGAGGGTTGAAGGTCCAGGGGCTGCGGGTAGGGCGCCTCTCACCAAAATATTGAAGAAAATCTCCTTGAGGTTTTTCGTGTCTTCATCAGTCAGCCAGCGCGTGTCCTCCTCAGTCCCTTCAGCCCCCGGTCGGACAATTTTGATCTCAATTTTACCTGGGCAGGGGCAAGATGGGCAGTGAGAGGAGAGGAATGCTGGGAGGTTCAGCGCAGCTCCCCTGCCGCCCAGACCCCCAGCCCCTCCATGTTGGGCGGCAAGCCCTTCCGACAGCTCGGAGTCCAGCCCCGCCCTCCAGGGCCCACCTTCTGCTGTGAGTCCCTCCCTCTCCAGCAGCTCTTTCACCAGCCCCTCGATTTGTTTCAGCTGTGGGTTTTCCCGTTTCATCTCGAGGACAGTCAGATCCTGATTGGGGCCTCCGTGATGGAGCCTGGTGACCCGGACCCGGACTCTGTGCTCAGGATCCTCCTCTTAGAGGGGGAGACACACAGGGAGACACAAAGCAGAGCCATGACTCCCGGGGTTAGGGGCCCGTGGTGGTCACAAATGGTGTGGGCAGCTATTCTGTCCCAAACACGTCCGTGAGCCAAGGCTCAGAACATCCGTGCCCCAATTCCAGCCTACAGTGCTCCCTCCACCAACTGCAGCCTCCCTTTTTCCTTCGCTACCCAGCAATTCTGCCATCCCCTACAAGAACACAACTGTGTTTTCTGAAGCAAAATCAGGCCACCTGGGCCAACTACGCAGTTTTGATTTGAAAAGCAGGTTGGAAAACTGTGGTTTGGTCCTTGATATGCTGACACGTTAAAGATATTTCAATGTTTATAGACGTAGTGGGACGGAAGGGTTGAAACCGGAACTTTCCCAGAACACTTGGAATGACTTGTCTCTGTACCCACAGGCCTCTGTGGAATGGACACAAGGGGCTGCAAGAAGAAGGCATCATTTCAAGTCTGTCCAGGCAACTGGCTTTTGTACAGCTGGGCTGGCCTATTCATACTCTGGCAGCTGGGGCCTCCCCCAGTGCAAAGTCCTAATTGTTGACTGGCTGCATCCTTCACAGATGTGTGGTTTCCAGTATATGGGCTCAGAGCCATCCAATTCCGATCACCCACTATGTGCCAGGCAAAGTGCTAGGCACTGGGAGTACAGGAGCAAACCAGGAAACCAGACAGACACCTAGAAGCTGCTTCCCACAATAGAAGGCAGCTACACAAACGGGCGGAGGCAGCGGGGAGAAAGCAACAGTGGAAACAGTGTTCCAGACAGAGGGGAGAATGAGCAGTCTAGAAGGGAAAGAACACGGCGCCCTCCAGGAACAATCAGGCTGAGGGATAAAGACAGCTGACTGGCCTGCTCCTCCTCGTCTGACAGCTCTCACCTGTAGGCTGCGGGGAGGCAGGAGGCTTTTTGGAGACAACCCCCCTTTTCCGGTGCCTCTTCACCAGCTGTGGACTCTGTTTTTCCTCCAGCCTTTTGATGAGCTTGTTGACAGTGGATGTCAGGGCCAGTATTGCCCGTTCACGCTCTGACTCCTTCTTCAGCCCGTCTGGGTCAAGTTCCTTCTCTGTCTGGAATGCCCAAAGGAGTGTGGAAGGAAAATGAAGGGTCTGGGGAGCAGAGGCAGCCTGTGGCTCATACACTATAAACCAAAACCAAACCTGTTGCCATCGAGTCAGCTCCGACTCATGGCGACTTCATGTGTTAGACATTAGAACTGTTCCACAGGGTTTTCACAGCTGTAATTTTTATGGAAGCAGATCACCAGGCCTTTCTTCTGTGGTGCCACTGGGTGGGTTCAAACCGCCAACCTTTAGTAATCGAGGGCAAACCGTTTGTACCACCCAGGGACTTTTATTTTATACGTTATAACCCACTGCCGTTGAGTTGACTCCAACTCACTCGTGAAACCCATTGGCTTCAAGTCGATTCCAACTCATAGAGACCCTATAGGATGGAGTAGGACTGCCCCATAGGGCTTCCAAGACTGTAACTTTTATGGAAGTAGACTGCCACATCTTTCTCCTGAGGAGTGACTGGTAGATTCAAATCGAACCCTTGACCTTTCAGTTACCAGCCGAGCTCTTAACCACTGCACCACCAGGGCTCCTTCATACTGTACAGAAGAGTCTAATATCTAATATCTCTCCAACCTCCTTTCCCCACTGTCCACTTTTTTAGTTAGGTAAACAACTTCTATTTCTCAGTGCTCTGTCCTGTCCTGTGCTAGGTGCTATAATATACTTTGTTCTCTTTTAGACCCTCGGTCCGCAGCTGCGGAAGTGGCAGGAGTAAGAGCCCTGCTCACCTCCTGGATGATATTCTCCAGTTCCCGCTCCATGCCAGCCTTCACCTCGGAACGGAGCCTGTCTCGGTCTGACGGCAGCAGTATCCCTTCCAGTTCCTTCTCAAATTCTCCCAGTAACTGCTGTTCATCCTCATCGTCATCTTCATCCTCCTCCTCCTCCTCTTTTTCCACCTCACTCGGCTGTTCTGCATCAACACCCTTTTTCTTCGTCTTAGGTTCCCTTTGAGGGACTTCTGCAGCATCGTCAACAGGCTGCTCCTGGCCTGTGTTCAACTTCCCCTGGGGTGCCGGGGGTTGGGGAGAAAGAGGCAGACAGTTGAGGTTTCAGGAAAGACACATGGTCGGGGGTAGACAAACAGCGGTAGGGGCGTGGCGGCAGGGGAACTCAGAGGACTAATGGGGGTCAGCTCTATTGGGCCTACTTGAGGCCCAGGACAGGAGTGGTTTTCAAAATGCTCCCATGCGGGAGGCAGGTTTCAGCCCTCCCTGAGAAGGGCCCATACCTTTTTTGCTCCACCTTTCAGCTCCTCTATCAACTGAATCAAGTCGGCAGGACTCCGAATGACTTTGACTTGCACATTGTTCTGAAAATCTGAGATGAAAGAAGAGGAGTGGATCCTCTGTGTTCTAAGGAAAGGTGATGAGGAGACCAAGGGAGGACATGTCCCTGCCCTCAGGAGCTACCTGTCTGGTCAGTGAGATAGGCCAAAACACACCCCTACAGACACCACTGTCCTAAGGTGTGCTCACAGGTGGGAGAAAACGATGCTAACAAGCTGTAAGTCCCCTGCTCTTTCATGTATTTCTGGGGCCTTTCTGGCCACCACTCCAGTTTCCAGGACTACAGAAGAGATTCTGGGGCACAGGGCCCCTCTTCCTCGGATCCTGTTCTCCCCTTTATACAAATATTAACCATTCAGTGAGTTTCTACTCAATTCCAGGCATTCTGTAAGGATCTACACATTCATTCCCATTTAACCCTACAATAGTCCTCTACGGTAGGGACTATTACTACCCACATTTTATGGGTTGAGGAAATTGAATTTAAGTGAAATCACCCGGGATTATAAAGTCAGCAAGAGGCAGAGCCACTGTGTTCTACTACCTCCCTAAAACAGCATTAGTGTCTACAAAGAGGATTAGCTCCTGTGAAACTGAATTAGCTGCTGGCATGGTTGCCCGAACTTCCTCCCAGAGTTTAGCTCCATCCTCCACGCCCCCACCCCAACCAGCTACCCGCCACCAACCATAAGATACATTCAGGCAGTAAAGCGGGGTGGGGGTGGAGGGGTGGTTCACTCACCATCAGGAGAGCGTGGAGCTGGATCTGCTGCCTCCACATTTGGTTCTTGCTCCTGATGAGGGAGAAAAGGGCAGAGTCAGGTGCACAAGCTCCCACATGCCTGCCACACTCTTAAGGCAATGGTTCTGGGAATATCCTTGCATCCCTAGACAGATATAAGTTACCTCCCAATGACCTGTGCTATGGTAGCCCTCCTCATCCCAAAGCCCAGGTCCAGCTCATCAGGGAAGCAGAAGCTGGCTCTCACCTCGGCCTGTGCCTCCTCCTCTCCCAGGGCCTGGTCCTCTTGCTCATGAACCATCTTCCAGAAATCTGATTCTTTACTGTCCTTGGTTGGGCTTGTACCTGGGGTACAGAAAACAGGGAAGAATCTGAAAGGAGGGGAGAAATGGAAGGGAGCAAACAGAAGGGAGTACACTCCCCTCTTCTATTACTAAGGGGTCAGGATTCATGTTCATGCTCTCCTTCCACCTCCACCCCCAACGGTCAGCACAGGACAGTAAGAACTGGAGGAAAGGAAGAAATGGGGGCCAGCTTCCTGGAACTAGTGAAACAAGGTCCTACCTTCTCTCTTTGGGGGCACCACCTCAGACTTGGTCTCACTCCACATCTGGGGGCCCAGGTCTTGCATATCCTCTAGGACTGTACCCCCATAATGCTTGGAGTCTGTGAGAAACAGCGTAAAAGCAGGATGCAGATGGACACATTCTTCTGGGCTATTCAGGACTTTATCTTCTGCCTCCCCTCTCATACATCTCCTTCCTCCCTCCATCTTCTAACTACTCACCAGCTTGCTGCTGAACATAGGCCATGTACTCCTCAGGCTGCAGGGCAGGGTGGCAGAGAATGGCTTGGGGAGCAGCACTGGGTGGGGGCCGGAGGAGAGGGTGGGGGCAGAGCCGAGGAGTCCGAACGGTCAGCACATAAGAGCAGGACAGGGGCTCATCCACACGGTCAATGTAGTCCCCAGAGATACCAGCACCCTCGTCACACAGGAACTGCCAGGACAGAAAGGGTGAATGAACAGTAACTACCAATAATTAGATTTAGTTCTTAGAGCAGCTACTTTTCATTAAGTACTTACAGTGTGTCCGACTCTGTGCAAAGCACTTTATATACATTAGCTCATTTAATTATTACAAATACCCAGTGAGGGAGGTATTAGTATCTCACCTTCATGGCTAAAGAAACTTAGGTTGCATGCAGCTAAAATGACTTGTTCAGGCTGATCCTTTGGTAAGTGGTAAAAACAGGAGTTAAACCTAGGCAGTTTAACTATAGGTAACGAACCGATTTTTTGTTTGGGTTTTTACATCCTTGCTTTTTTTATAAATATGCTATATGTAATACAGCATAGCTTGGTAAAGTAGAGGATCAGCGAAAAAGAGGCAGATCCTCAATGAGATGAACTGACACAGTGGCTATAACAACGGGCTCGAGCATAACAATGATGGTGAGGATGGCGCAGGACGAGGCAGTGTTTCATTCTGTTGTACATGGGGTCGCTATGAGTCGGAACTGACTTGATAGCAACCAACAACAACGATATAGCATAAATATATATATGCACTATATATGTATATGTACATATTTGCTTTATAAATATGTATTCTTTTTATATGTGTTTATGTACATATGGGTGTCCTGGTGGCACAGTGGTTAGGAGCTATGGCTGCTAACCAAAAGGCTGGCAGTTCTAATCCACCAACCACTACTTGGAAACCCTATGGGGCAATTCTACTCTGTCCTATAGGGTCGCTATGAGTCAAAATCAACTCAACGACAATGGGTTTTTAAAAAATATACATTTATTTAAAATATGTGCATATGGCTAAAAAAAACTTCAAACAGTTCTGAGGTCCTTATATTATTCAGGAAGAGAGTAAAGATACTGATGAACGTTGCCCTTTGATAAGTACATACCATTGTAGTTTCTAACATAACTATTGTAAGTAAAAGAGAGGTTCCACTTCTGAAATGGCAGGGTGAGGAGCTCTGCAGATCCATTCCCCAGCAAAATATCCATGTCGGTGTCGTTAGGTGCTGTCAAGTCGGTTCCAACTCATACAGACCCTACGTACAACAGAGCAAAATGCTGCCCAGTCCTGCACCATCCTCACAATTGTTATGCTTGACCCCTGCAGCCACTGTGTCAATCCATCTTGTTGAGGGTCTTCTTCTTTTCCCTGATCCTCTACTTTACCAAGCGTGATGTCCTTCTCCAGGGACTGGTCCCTCCTGATAACATGTCCAAAGCAACAGAGGTGAAGTCTCGCCATCCTCGCTTCAAGCAGCATTCTGGCTGTGCTTCTTCCAAGACAGATTTGTTCGTTCTTCTGGCAGTCCATGGTATATTCAATATTCTTCACCAACACCATAATTCAAAGGTATCAATTCTTCTTCAGTCTTCCTTATTCTTTGTCCAGCTTTTGCATGCACATGAGGGAACTGAAAATATCATAGTTTGTTTCAGGCGCACCTTAGTCCTAAAGTGACATCTTTGCTTTTCAACACTTTAAAGAGGTCTTTTGCAGCAGATTTGCCCAACGCAATACATCATTTGATTTCCTGACTGCTGCTTCCATAGGTGTTGATTGTGGATCCAAGTAAAATGAAATCCTTGACATCATCAATATTTTCTCCATTTATCATGATGTTGCTCATGTCCAGCTGTGAGGATGTCTGTTTTCTTTATGTTGAGGTGTGACCCATACGGAAGGCTGTGGTCTTTGATCTTCATCAGTAAGGGCTTCAAGTCTTCTTCACTTTCAGCAAGCAAGGTTGTGTCACCTGCGTATCGCAGGTTGTTAGTCTTCCTGCAGTCCTGACGCTGCATTCTTCATATAATCCAACTTCTCAGATTATTTGCTCAGCAAACAGATTAAGTCTGGTGAAAGGATACAACTCTGGCACAAACCTTTCCCAATTTTAAACCAAAAACATGCGTAACTAGTAAAAATGTTAAAAAAAGATGGAGGGGCTATCTAAAAGGACGCTTAAGAACCATAACAACCAAACATAGCATGTGAACCTTATTTGGATTCTGATTCAAAAAGGCCAACCATAAGAAAAGAGATAATAAGGCAAATTTCTAAATACTGAATAAATAAGGAATTATTGTTAATTTTTTTAGTGTGATATGGCTTGTGATTATGTTTCAAAAAGAGCCCTTATCTTTTAGAGATAAATACAGAAATATTTATGGATGAAATGATATGATGTCTGGGATTTGCTTCAAAATAATCCGGGAGTGGAGGTAATACAGGGAGTCAGCAGGGGGACAGATGAAATGAGACTGGCTATAATTGCTGAAGCTAGGTGATACCCAGTGGGTCATTATACTAGTCTCTCTCATTTTATATATACTTTTAATTTTCCATAATAAAAAGATAAAAAAAAAAAAAAAAGACAATCTTTAAATACCCCTTGCCTAGCAATTATACTTTTAGGAATTTATCTAATGGATCTATGTATACATGACAATATGTGCAGTATAATAATCTTCTGTAATATCGAACGAATGGAGGGAAAACAATTTTTATGAATACGATAGTGGTGACAAATAATGATACATTTGTACAATGGAATATTATGCTGCTGTTAAAACAAAGGAGGAGGCTCTATATGTACTGCCACAGAAAGACTTCTAAAGATTGTCATTAAGGGGAATAAAAACAAGGTACAGACTAGTGTGTACAATATACTATTTTGTGTGTAAATAAAGGGAAAAGGAAATAAAAATATCTATTAAAATTGCTTATAAATACACAAAGAAAGGCTCAAAGGATACACGAAAAACTAAGAAAGAGCAGGGGTTACCTGTGTGAGCAGGTTGGAGACAAGTTTGAGAGGAAGGCTTTTCATTGTGTACCTTTTTATGTTTTCTGGGTTTTTAATCATGGGAAAGTATCATCTATTTAAAACTCAGATGATGAAATTTAAAATAGCCACAAAAACGTGTGAGAGATACAAAATTTATAAAAGACGTACATGCAAGAGCAAAGGTGAAAATGAATTACCTAAGCATTCATTTCAAGGAGCTGAAAAAGAATAGCAAAAAACAGCAGAAAGAAAAATAAAGATCAGTGGAAATTCATAAAATGGAAAATAAATATAACAGAGGTGCTTAACAGAGCCAAAAGTTGGTTCTTTGAAAAGATTAATAAAACCAACCAACCTCTGGTAAGACTGACCAATAACAAAAGACAGAGGCAAAAATTACAGACTATGCGAACATTAAAAAGATAACAGAAGGACATTATGAACAACTTTATGCCACAATCGGACGAAATGGATAAATTCCTAGAAAATATAACTGACCAAAGCTGACCCAAGCAGAAATAGAAAACGTTGAATGTTCCTGAAACTACTAAAGAAAATGAATAAAAAATTCCAATCTTACACACTCTTCACAATATAGAAAAAGTGGGAAGATTTTTTAACTTACTTTTTGAGGCTAACATAATCTTGGTAACAAAACATAATAAAGACCTACTAAAAAAGAAAATTACAGGCCAAGAGCTCTCACGTGCATATATACAAAAATCCTTACAAAACAATTAATAAACTGAATCCAGTAAAGTATAAAAAGGATAGTCAAGGATAATACATAATGACTGCACTGGGTTTATCCCAGGAATGGAAAACTGATTTAACATCACTCTCTGAATTTCCATTTCCATGTGCATACTTTGCTTTCATTAAAATAAGAATCCCTCCTCTTCCTTGACGGCCTGGACGAGGCAACACCATGGACCAGATCCTCCTTGAGATATGTTCTTCCACCATAGTCTCCTCTCTGGCCCCTTCTGTCTCCTTAGAAAGATCTCCTTCTTCTGCCCATGGCTTCCTTTCAGTGAAGGCTTCCTCAAAGTTCTCTCTTACTTTTCTCACTCTATGCTGTTTCTTTGGGGGATTTCATCTATACCCATGGCTTCAATGATAACCAATCCAGCCCTCTGGGTTCAATTCAGATCTCTCTCCAGAGCAGATCCAACAGCCTCCAGGGAAATTTCTACTTGGATGCCGTACAGCCACTAACATCATCATGTTCAAAACCAAAACCGGCCATTTCCTTCACCAAATTGACTCCTCTTCCCGAATACCTGTCTCAGTAACAGGAACCACCATCTATTCAGTTGCCCAAGCCAGAGCCCTGGGAATCATTCTTGACTCCTCCCTCTCACTCCATTGATTCTGCCCCCTAAAACTCTCAAAAAAATTCACATTCCTTCATGCCCAGATCACCTTTATTCCTCACCTGGACTCCCGCAACAGCTTCCTAACTAGTCTCCCCGAGCCAGAGTGAGCCTTCAAAAACCAAAATTAAGTATGTCATCATTTCGCTTAAAATACTTCAGTGGCTCCCCATTGTCTCTGATATTGTCCAAACCCCTCCACATAGCTACAGAGCCCCTGGTGACCTGCGACCTGTCTGCTAACAACTGCCTAACTTCATCTCCCACACTCTGCTTCCTCACAAGTCTCCCCTCCATTCCTGGGGTTGACCACTCCCTCCAGGCCTTCTGCACTGACTGAACCTTCCATGTGGAATGTCCTCTTCTTCCCCTCACATCCCCCTGCAACTGCTGAACTAATTCTTCACCTTATAGTTGTCAGTTCAAAGGCCACCTTTTCCAAGGCCTCCCCTTGTATCCTAGACTCAGTTAGTTCCTTTATTATATGTTTGCATATGATAATGTACTTCCCCTCTCAATAGCACTTAGCCTGCTTGCTGTGACTGTTTCTTTAACATCTGTCTCCTGAGAGCAGGACCAAGTCTCTCAGTCACCATTTCAGCCCGAGTTTCTTTATAGAAGGTCCTTGAGTGACGCAAATGGTTTGCTATCAGCTGCTAACCTAAAGGTTGGAGGTTTGAATTTATCCAGCAGCACTGTGAAAGAAAGACCTGGCTATCTGCTTTAGGAAAGATGACAGCCAATTAACGAGATGGAGAAACCAATCACCAACTTCATATGGAAAGGGAAGAGGCCCCGGATAAGTAAAGCATTCACGGAAGAAGAAGAACAAAGTGGGAGGCCTCACACTACCTGATTTTAGAACCTATTATACCACCACAGTAGTCAAAACAGCCTGATACTGGTACAACAACAGATATATAAACTCATGGAACAGAACTGAGAACCCAGACGTAAATTCATTCACCTATGAGCAGCTGATATTTGACAAAGGCCCAAAGTCCATTAAATGGGGAAAATACAGTCTCTTTAACAAATGGTGCTGGCATAAGTGGATATCCATCTGCAAAAAAATGAAACAAGACCCATACCTCACCCCATGTACAAAAACTAACTCAAAATGGATCAAAGACCTCAATATAAAATCCAAAATGATAAAGATCATAGAAGAAAAAATAGGGACAATGCTAGGAGCCCTAATACACGGCATAAACAGAATACAAAACATAACTAACAATACACAAACACCAGAAGAGAGAGTAGATAACTGGGAGTTCCTAAAAAATCCAACACTTACGCTGTTCAAAAGATTTAAAAGAGTAAAAAGACAACTTACAGACTGGGAAAAAATTTTTGGCTCTCACATATCCGATAAGAGTCTAATCTCTAAAATCTACAAGATACTGCAACACCTCAACAACAAAAAGACAAACAACCCAATTAAAAAATGGGCAAAGGATATGAACAGACACTTCCCTAAAGAAGACATTCAGGTGGGTAACAGATACATGAGGAAACGCTCACAATCATTAGCCATTAGCGAAATGTAAATCAAAACTACAATGACATACCATCTCACCCCAATATGACTAGCATTAATCCAAAAAAACACAAAATAATAAATGTGGAGAAACTGGAAGACTTACGCACTGCTGGTGGGAATGTAAAATGGTACAACCACTTTGGAAATCAATTTGGCACTTCCTTGAAAAGCTAGAAATAGAAGTTCCATATGATCCAGCTATCCCACTCCTTGTAATATATCCTGGAGAAATAAAAGCTGTCACACAAATAAATATATGCACACCCATGTTCATTGCAGCACTGTTGACAATAGCAAAAAGATGGAAACAACCTAGGTGCCCATCAGTAGACGAACGGATAAACAAATTATGGTACATAAATACAATGGAATACTACACAATGATAAAGAACAGTGATGAATCTGTGAAACATTTCACAACATAGATGAATCTGGAGGGCATTATGCTGAGTAAAATTAGTCGCAAAAGGACAAATATTGTATGAGACCACTATTATAAGAACTCAAGAAAAGGTTTAAATGCAGAAGAAAGCATTTTTTGACGGTTAAGAGGGTGGGGAGGGAGGGAGAGGGGAATTCACTAACTAGACAGTAGACAACAATTATCTTAGGTGAAGGGAAGGACAGCACACAATACAGGGAAAGCCAGCACAAGCGGACTAAAGCGAAAGCTAAGAAGCTTCCTGAGCACAACCAAACACTTTGAGGGACAGAGTGGCTGTGGTCTGGGGACATCTAGGTCAACTGGCATAACAAAGTTTATTAAGAAAATGTTCTGCATCCCATTTTGGTGAGTGGCATCTGGGGTCTTAAAAGCTAGCGAGCAGCCATCTAAGATGCATCAATTAGTACCAATCCACATGGAGCAAAGGAGAATGAAGAACACCAAACACACAAGGAAAATATTAGCCTAAGAGACAGAAGGGCCACATAAACCAGAGACTCCATCAGCCCGAGACCAGAAGAACTAGATGGTGTCTAGCTACCATCAATGACTGTTCTAACAGGGAACACAACAGAGAGTCCCTGACGCGGAGCAGGAGAAAAGTGCAGAGCAGAACTCAAATTCACGTAAAAACACCAGACTTAATGGTCTGACTGAGACTGGAGGAACCCACGAAGCTATGGCCCCCACATGCTCTGTTAACCCAGAACTAAAACCATTCCCAAAGCCCACTCTTCAGACAAAGATCAGACTGGACTATAAAACGTAAAACAATACTCGTGAAGAGTGTGCTTGTTAGTTCAAACAGATACACGAGACCAAATGGGCAGCTCCTGTCCAGAGGTAGGATGAGAAGGCAGGAAGGGACACAACGGACACAAGAAGAGACACAACCTGGGGTGGAAAGGGGTAGTGAGCTGTCACATCACAGGGACTGCAACTAATGTCACATAACAGTATGTGTATAAATTTTTGTATGATAAATTAACTTGAGCTGTAAACTTTCACCTAAAGCACAATTTAAAAAAAAAAAAAAAAAGATGAGAGCCAAGAAAACCCTCGAGAGCAGTTCTACTCTGTAATACCTGGGGGTGCCATGGGTCGGGAGCAACTGGACAGCAACGGGTTTGGGGTTTTTTTTTGTTTGTTTCTATTATAGTACTTGGCACAGGACTATGTTCGGTAAATATGAGGAGGATGCAGTCTATGCCCTTAGTTCCTGGCCTCCTAAACCTAAACCAAACCCAACTCATAGGGACCTCATAGGAAAGAGTAGAACTGCCCCACAGGGTACCTCCAAGGCTGTAAATCTTCACAGAAGCAGACTGCCACATCTTTCTCCCACGCAGAACACCTGGTGGGTTTGAACCCCCAACCTTTCAGTTAGCAGCCAAAGGCTTTAACCACTGTGCCACCAGGGCTCCCTGTTCTTGGCCTACTGAAGATATAAACACCCAAAGAAATAATTAGAATACAATGAAGTAAGTGCTATTACAGATTATATACATGTATGGATGCTTGTAGGTATATGTACGTGTTGCTGTATGCATATGAAGCACTGAAGGAACACAACTAGCTTTCTGGGTTAGTCAAGAAAAGTCACAAGGTAAGTGACATTTGAAGTGGCTTATCCATTCAACAAATAATTCCTGGGCACTCACTTGGTGCTAGGCACTGTCCCAGCCACTGAGGATACAGCAGAAAACAAGACAGATATTGTCCCTGCCTTCCTGGAGCTTATTCTAACTGGGGGAGACAGATATTAAGTTTAAACAAATAAGGTAACGTCAGGTGATGATACATGCTTTAAAGAATATTGAACACGGTAGCTATTTACCAGGATGGGGGCAGAGGTGTGTGTGTGTGTATCTACATTAGGTCTCCCTACGGAGGAGTCTTTTGAATATAACCTACATGAGGGGACGGAGCCAGCCACTCCAAGATCTGTGGGAAGACTGCGCCAGGCAGAAGGAACAATGAGAACCACTGGCTCAAAGGACAGAAAGAAGGCCAGTGTGGCAGAAACGCAGTGTTTATATCTCCACCCAGACGCAGTCCCTGAACTCTAGGCTCACAGAGCCAACTACCATCTGGACGTCACCACTTGGATGTCTAATAGACATCCTGACCTTCATGTATCCAAAACTAACTCCTAATTTCCTCCCCTAAACCCACTCCTTCCCGCTTTAGTAAATGACAATTCTATCCTTCCAGTTGCTCAAGCTAAAAACCTTTGACTCTACCATTTCTTTGGGGGGATTTTCATCCATAACCATGGCTTTAATTATAATCAATATGTTGATGACTGCCAGCTTTGACTCCACCCCACATCCGATCTATCAACAAATCTTATTGGCTCTACCTTCAAAATACATGCAGAAGCCATCCACTTTTCACTGCCTCTGCTGGCCCCACCCTGGTCTGTGCTGAGGCATTTGGACCTTATCCTTTGGACAAGGCACAACCACTGGATGTTTTCTAGGACTGGGCAGATGAGTGACCTGTGCTTACCAGTGATGTTCTGAAGCCAGTTCACACCAACTCACAAGAGCTGACTGGTAAATTTTCAGAAATTTTGCAAGCCAACTGATGTCACACCGATAACTTGAAATTGGCCATGGTGGGAATATTTATTCCACGGATATTGGCAAACACTAAAAATCAGGGCTGGGTATGCAACATTTGCCAGCATACCACGTCACCTGCAAATCTGTATTACAGAATGATAACTCTGGTAGGAACCATGCGTGTCTCTACAGTGAACATTAGGATCACCTGAGGAACTTCAGCGAATGTACACCTGCCTGCCAGCCCCATCTCAGTTAAGGACCACTAGATCAGGAACTTCTGTTAAGAGGGTGTCGGCAGTGACGCATGTGGGAGATGAAGGTACCAAACACAGGGAAAAAGAGGACTCCTGAGTTTGAGAGCTATCTAGAAGTAAAAGGCATGGGCTTTGTTATTTACTCTCAGAGAACTAGACTCCTTCACATCATTTCTCAGTCGTAATCATAGGCTCCTTGCTGGGATTTTTTTGCTAACAGCTGACTTCCCTCTAGACTTCATTCCAAGAGGGAAGGGGCAGCATCTGTTTGTCCCCAGACCTCAGCCCAGGACCTACATACAGCAAGAGCTCACTGAAGAATCATTAAGTCAAGAAAGGAAGGATGACGTGAAGGAGAAGGAAGAATCAAGGATGGTAGTCATGTTTCTAGTTCAGGTGACAGCAAGGAGAAATATGGAAAAAAAGAGTAAATGTGGTTGGGGATGCTGAGGGGAAGATGTAGGAGTGTTGACTTGAAGGACCTCTGAACATCCAGGTAGCAGCTGGCGGCTGGAAATATGTCTCTCTGGGAGAGACTCTCTTGACTGTAAGACGCAACCCTGCCCTACTCCCTTAGAATCTGAATTGTCACTGAGGGAGTATCAACTTCCCGCTCTCAAGACTCACCCGAACCTCGGCCTCCCGGGGCCTCCCATTGAGGTCGCACTTTGACCCATTCCCATAGGTTTGGCTGTGGTAGCGCTTCAGGCGATGCTGCTTGGAGGCCTGGGGAGGACAGCAGGTAGGAGAGAAGGAGGTTGAGAAAGGCATCAAGGAGGAAGAATGGCACTAAGCCCCCAGAGGGACCTTAGAGACCTTGGGGATCCAGGTCACCAAGCCCCAAAAAACATGCCAGCCACCCTAACCCTAACCCAGGGTTCTCAGGCTGCAGCCAGGACCCTCTTCCCTCCCAACCCCACACTTTTACCACCTTGGCTGTTTCATCATCCCAGTCGAAGGCCGATTGGTAGTAGCCAAGATAGAGGACTTCACCTTTGATCTCTGAATCTGCAAGAGTAATCGCAGTAAAGCACCATCACTCCCTTCTGAGAGAACCAGGGAGGGAAGGAGACTAGGGAGTCAGGTCACCTCCCATGACATGTGGCTAACGGCTTAGGGAGAATGTAGGAGGCAGTCACCTTCCATGTGGTACTGCTGGATGTGGCGTCCATAACAGAATTCATATGTCCACCAGTCCTTCGTCTGACAATAAAAAAAAAGGACAGTCAGGGAGATGGAGGGGGGATGTGTCTCCTGGGAACGAGAATCTCTCCTGGCTCCAAGACATACAACTTCTCATCTACTTCTCATCTCTCTGCAAGTCCACACACAATTATTCAGACTCTCAGTGAGGAGAGAGCACTGTTTTCCTTCTTTGACTTGGGGTGATACCTCTAAAGTCTAACCGTTTTCCACCTGTGGCCTTTCCACTCCTACCTTATATATATATATAAATAAAAATCCTTCTCTGCCCTCGATAAAGACAAGAAATCATAGTATCCTTGCAGCACTCAGACCAGGGAAACATAGAAGACCCCAACCTCAAATATTAATTAAGCATCTACAACATCCCTTGCACTGTTCTAGAAATTAGGGATACAGCTGTGAACAAGATAAATTCCCTGACCTCATGAAGCGTACATTCTAGAGCAGGGAATCACACCAAAAATAAGCAAATATAAACAAACCAATGATTCTGTTAACAGGATGATTTCAGAAAAAAGTGCTAGGACGAAAATAAAATAGGATAGTGGGACGGAGAGTGACCAGGGCAGGAGGTGACTTTGCCAGGGTTTACCAGGAAGGCTCCTCTAAGGAGGTGCCCTTCCTACCCCACACTGCCCCTCTTTAGGCACCTCAATCTTTGTTTACCCCTTATTCTGAGATCTCCTATCCTAACCCTCGTCTACACTGGCAGAGCCACATCCACATTGATGGTTGCAGGATTCTTTGCTCCTTTCCTGTCTATATGTCTGCTCCTCCAGTAGCCTTCACTCCTACAGGTCCTCTGGATCCTTCCTCATGCACCAGCAGCCTGGTTCTCACATGGTCTGCTAGTTTCCAACTCCTGTTCCATCCATCCCAGTCCCTTTTACCTTCAGTAGACAGGGAGCATCTTTCATCGGGCTCAACAACTCAGGGACCCCAGGCCCTTGGTAAGCAGGTGCCTCCTCCTCCCTTTCACGCTGGAAGTGAATGGCTCCAGCTGGCAGGCGACACTCATAGCGCTGTTTGTACTTAGAGGAGACAATCACCACGTCCGAAGCCTGGCTCTGGGAAAGAAGGGGGCGTAGGGGAGCAATGAGGCAGGGATCAGGGAGAACAACGAGATTCCTCTTCAGACCCTGGGGAAAAGCCCAGTTGAAGACAGAATGAACCACAATTCCTCCAGCTGTCCTCGGTGGGTGAGGGGAGAGAACACTCCCACTTGGCCACCGGGGAGGAGTCTGAGTGTTTACCAGGGACTGGGACCTGGAAACTGACAGCGGGAAGCCCCATCCTCCCAGCCCCTGGCCCCAAGGGCTGGCGCTCAGTCTGTGATCCCCAGGAGTCACCGTAAACCCCCTTCGACTCTTCTCGACTCTCCTTAGGTTTCTGCCCCAGACTCCGCAGCTGCCTTCCTTCTCTATGTTCTTCTCCTTCCTCCTCTATCCCGGATCCTCGCCCCTCTCTATGCCTCCTCACCTGCCCTCCCATGACAGGCAAAGGCAGGATCTCGATCCCATAACGCATTTCACTCAGTTCCTCCAGGTTCAGGCTTCCGACACCGCCAGTCAGACTTGCGGGTAACAAGAGCCCCAGAAGCAGCAGCCCCAACAAACTGGGAAGCAACGTTCCCACCGCCATCTTTCATTCCCCTTCTTATCCAGAGCAACTCTTTCCGCCCTGAACCTGGCAGGGGCTTCATCCCGCCCATTAACGACCCAAGATTTCATTGGCTATACTTGCTGTCCCTCTTACGTACCCTATTCCCATTTGTAAACGTGGGCCAAAGCTCACGGGGAGAGGGATCACAACTATTAGCAAATCACTCGATGCACGTGATTGGTCAGAGATACCAACCAATCATCGACGAGATCAAACCCATTCCCACCCTCTCTTGGTTTCCAAGGGGTGTGGTCTTTGCTCTGGGGCCTTTTCAGCGGTTACTTTCTGCTCTCGACCGGCTGTCATACGCATCTCTTCTTACTACTTTGTTAGACGTTTTCTGCGTTGTATTAGGCCCCAGCAGGACGGAGGATTTAGGCCTAAGGGCAGGTGGGCGTGATGCCCCTTTAAGTTACTTAGTACTTGTTGCCCAACAATTATTGTAGACATTTTTTTTTTGTTAGTTGCCGTCCAGTTCGCCCCGACTTATGGTGACCTTATGTATAATAGAACAAAACGTTGCCCGGTCCTGTGCCATCTCCATGAAAGTTCATGTGTTTGAGTCCGTTATTGTGGCTGTCGTATAGTGCCTTCCAGCCTGGGGGGCTCACCTTCTAACACTATGTTGAACAATGTTCTGGTGTAATCCAAAGGTTTTCATTGGCTAATTTTCTGGAAGTAGATCGCCAGGCCTTTCTTCCTAATCTGTCTTGGTTGAAACCTGTCCACCACGGATGACCCTGCTGGTGTTTGAAATACTGGTGGCATAGTTTCCAGCATCATAACAACAGGCAAGCCACCACAGTGTGACCAACTGGCCGACAGAGGGTGGAATTGTACAGAAGCATACCTCTTTTCATATATACATACAACTTTAAGACAATCTGGTGGTTTGTGTCAAACACAGACAAAGAGAAAAGAAAAGGAGACAACAGCAGTAACATTTTGGAAGCTGGAAAGCAAATGGAGAAATGATAACTGGTTTGCAGACCTGAGAAAGTTGATTCCTCAACAGAGGTAACCAAGAGCATGATTGTACCTCTAGGCAGGACACTGAAAAACCTTCTCTGGGGAATCAGACCAACCAAGGGGAAATATTCCAAAAATACTCTCATCAGGGTTCTTTCAGAGAAATAGCCTAACCAATCCTACAGGCATTTAAAGAAAGCGTTTATTATACAAGAAAGAGACCAAAACAAGCAAAGAAAAAGCAAATGAGAGGAAACAGATTTTCAGGGACAAAAAAATAAAACAAACATTAATATCCTCATAGAAATAAGTTCATGCATCCATGAAATAACAATAATAAGTGATTTTTAAAAAGTAACTACTATTGAGATAAGCAAAAAGAGCACTTGGAAATTAAAACCATAAGCAGAAATAAAAATGGAATAGAAGGACTAGAAGATAAAGTTGAAGAAGATCAAATTTGCTCTACTTTAGGGGAAAAAAAAGAGGATCAGCCCAGGAGGTTGAACATCTGAGTAATGAGAGCTCCAGAAAGACAGGAGAAAATCAGAAGGGAAGAAATGACCAGTGAAATTATTAAAAAGTATTTTCTTAAATGGAAGGACTGTGTTTCCAAATTGAAAGGACACACTAAGTATTCAGCACAACAAATCAGACCTACACCAAGATGCATTATTGTAGAATTTCAGAATGCTGGAGACAGAGAAAAGATTCTAAAAGCTTCCAGAGAAAAAGAACAAGTTTCATACAAGGATCAAGAATCAGAACATTAGACTTATCAACTCATAAACTCTGGAAGTTAGAAAACACTGGACAAATGCCTTGAAAATTCTGAGGGGAATTATTTCCAACCAGAATTCTGCATTCAGCTAAACTATGGTTTAATTATGAGTCCATAACAATGACAATTTCAGATATTCAAGCCATTAAAATATTAACACTCCATACATTGCTTTTCAGAAAGATAGGAGAAGATGTATTTCACCAGAACAAGTCAGTTAGTTAAAAAAGAGGAAGGCATGGAATCCAGAGAATCTATGAAGGATTCTTGCAAAACCAAGACTACCAGTTTACAGGAAATATGGGAAATAGGAGAATACGTTAAACACCACAGGATTGTTTAACATATCAGGAATAAAACAGGATTAATGTCCCAATCTCTTTAACAAATACATTGCAAGATTTAAAAAAGGAAGAAAACCGTTTATATTGAAAGAGGTCTAAGAGACATGTCCACTGAATGCAATGTATAGATCTTGTTTGGATCCTGAATCAAGCTACTATGAAAATACTTTTATGAGTCAGGAAAATGGGCACTGACTGGATATTATATGATATTAATGAATTTATATTAAAATTAGCCCTTATCTCTTAGAGATACAAATTTATGTATCTACCAATGAAATGGTATGATGTCTGTGAGAATCTAGGGGGAAGTAGTGGGGGTATAGATGAAGTGAAATTAACCATATTTTATAATTTTTGAAGCTATATGATAGGTACATGAGGGTTCGTTATTCTTTACTTTCTACTTTTGATTGTGTTTGAAAATTTCCACTTAAATAAAAAAACTCAGTGAGTAATTTTAACAACAATTTAGATTTAGTCGAAGATAGAAGTAATGATGTTCAGAAGAAATTATCCAGAGTGAAACACAGAACAACAAAGAGAGAAGTTTAAAAGAGAGAATAAGAATTATGGAGGGTAGGGTAAGAAATCTAACACAGGTCTAACTGGAATTCTGGAAGGTGAAGAGAGAAAAAAATGTAGCAAAGATAATGGCTGAGAATTTTTCAAAGCTGATTAGAAATACAAATCCATAGATTCAAGAGGCCTAATAAATTTCAAGCAGGACAGATTAAAAAAAAAAAAAGTCAATAAGTAGACATATCACAGTGTAAGTCAACAGCATTAAAGACAAAGAGCAGGTCTTAAAAGCAGCCAGAGTGTATGCATTTGTCAAAACTCACTGATCTGTAACATGTAAGGTCTGTGCATTTCACTGCATGTAAATTTTACCACAATAAATAAAAGCAACCAGAGAAAACAGATTACCTTCAAAGGAGCAGCAGTTAGACTGAGAACTGACTTCTCAATAGCAGCAGTGAAAGCCAGAAGACAAATCAATGACATCTTCAGTATACGGAAAGAAACTTACTTCCACTGGGAATTTTATGCCCAGTGAAAATATCTTTCAAGAATGAGAGTGAAATACAAATAGTTTCAGACAAAGAAAAACCAGAAGGATTTGCAGCCAACAGACTCTCACTAAGGAAAATTCTAAAGAATGTACTTCAGACAAAAAGTTATCCTAGATGGAAGGTCTGAGATGTAAGAAGAATAACAAAAATGGGAAATATGTTTTAAAACCGACATGATTATTGACTGTATAAAGCAACAACAATACTAACGTATTCTGGAGTTTATATATAAAGATAGAATTAAAACTCACTGAAACAATAACATATACTTTGGGAGGTAGGTGAGTAAAATCAACTTGTTCTAGGTTTCTTGCAATTGTCTGCAAAGAGAGTGTACCAATTATCAAGCTATGCCTTTCACCTTCAAATTCATCCTTCTAAAGGTCCCTGGGTGTCACAAATGGTTTATACTCAGCTGGTAACCAAAAGGTTGATGGCTGGAACCCACCCAGCTGCACCCAGCTGTTGGAAACAGGCCTGGTGACCTGCTTCCGTAAAGATTACAGCCAAGACAACCCTATGGAGCAGTTCTATTCTGCAACATATGGGGTCCCCTAAGTCACAAATCAACAGCAAAATCAACAACAGATCCATCCTTTCAGATGTCACTGTAATGCTGGGGCTGATGATCTGCAAACCACTTCTTTTTTTTGTCAGTCAGCTCACTCTTAGATTCTATCAGTTCTGCTGGACAGAGACTGGAAAGCTAGAGGAGGAAGAAATGGGTTTTCTTTTTTCTGTTTCTTGCTGTGCCTCAAGCTTCTTTCAGCTCTTCCAGAATCAGTTTCATTGTGTCCCCGCAGAGGTCCAGCAACAACCAGGGAGCTGCAGTTCTCCAGGTCCCTCCTCTGACATTTTAGTTGTGATAACCCGGGTTTCTTCCTTTTGCTCCCCCAGCTCCAGGAGCAGTAGCTGCTCCCTGCTCCTCTATGATACCTCGGTGTTCCCTTTTGCTTTTTCATTCCTCCAACATTTATTTCATCAACTCTCTGTATTAAATTCTCACTATTAAAGCACCTATCTTAGTTATCTAGTGCTGCTATAACAGAAATACCGCAAGTGGATGGCTTGAACAAACAGAAATTTATTTTCTCACAGTTTAGGAGGAAAGAAGTTCAAATTCAGGGTGCTGGCTCTAGGGGGAAGGCTTTCTCTCTCTGTCAGCCTTAGGGGAAGGTCCTTGTCTCTTCTGAGCTTCTGCTCCTGGGCAATCTTCATGTCGTTTGGCATGTCTGCTTCTTTCGCTTGCTTGTTTAATCTCTTTTATATCTCAAAAGAAATTGACTCAAAGTATACCCTACACTAATCCTATCTCATTAACATAACAAAGACAACCCATTCTCAAATGGGATTATAACCACAGGCATAGAGGTTAGGATTCACAACACATATTTTTGGGGGACACAATTCAATCCATAAGAGCACCTAATGTGATTTTTGTTTTCCTGACTGAACCCTTAGTGCTACAGATGATATTGATGTATAGATCTTGATAAGTCAAATATTTACGTTTATGTTGTAGGTAACCAGTAAAGGAGTAGAGACAGAGTGTATAACTTCCAAATCAAAGGGAAAAATGAAATGAGAAAAAAAACACAATTTATGAGGCCACTTATTTCAAGAAACACCATTATTATATCTAACACCACAAAGGGTATAAACACTACCAATTAACCCATGACATACTATCAATTGTAAGATGTATCCCAATTTCAGAGTATTAAATATGAGTGTATTAAAATATGAAAAAGTATGTTCTAAGAATCAATAAAATATGACATATGTTGCTTATAAAGAAGAATATCTAAAATGTAAGGATACAAAATAATTAAAAATAAAAAGGTAGAAAATGTACCATGAAAATTATAAACAAAAGCAAGTTTGCTGTGGCAGAGACAATGCAATGTTTCATCAAACTAGTTTTGTTTTTCTCCTGGTCACACAGATAAACTACCTTTAACATCACCTGCTGCAGTTAGGTAGAGCCACATGATTCAGTTCTGGCCAATGAAATGTGGGCAGAAGTGATGGCCACCACGCTATGCCTGGATCCTAAAATGTTCTGAGCTTTCTTGCACACTCACTTTCATCCCCCACATGCAGGCTAGATAACAACTCCCAGAAAGATCTTGGCTGCCACATGTTGAAGATGGTGGACCTCTGTCAACTGGATCACTGAATGAATGCATGGAGCAGAGCATCCTACCACCACCACCTACAACCTATATTAGATTCTACCATGAGCAAGTAATAAATTTTTGTTGACTCGCTGAGTTTTGGAGTTGTGTTTAACACTACTAACCCTAACTAACACAGAAATTGACAGTAGAAGTGGAGTGCTGCTGTAACAGAAACTAAAATATAAGGCAGTGACTTAGCAATCGGATGGTAGTCAATGAGAAAATTGATACCAGAGGCTCAAAAGATGACGATCTATTTGTGCCAGAAATGTGCAATCAAGATAACAGAAACAGCTCCAGTTTTTCAAACGGTGGGAATTTAATACAGAGAATAATTTACAAAAGTACTGCAGGAATCAATAGATGAATGGATAAACAAAATGTGGTATATACACACAATAGAATACTACTCAGCCATTAAAGAGTTCTGATGCATGCCACAACATGGATGAACCTTGAAAACATCATGCTGAGCAAAATAAATCAGTCATGAAAGGACAAATACTGTATGAACTCACTTATGTGAAATAAGCAAATATATAGAAACACTAAAATTATTAGTGGTTACCAGCGGTGGAAGGGAAAGGAAAGGGAGAGTTTATGCTTAGAAGACGTTAAGTTTATATTGATGGTGATTGAATGATTCAGAAAAGGATAGCAAGAATGTGTGCACAACTCGTAGAACGTAGTCAATGTCACTGAATTGTACACATTGAAATTATTGAGATGGTGTATACTATATATGTATATTTTCACCACAATAAAAGAAAAGAAAACATTTTTTAAAAGTGTTACAGGCAATACAGTACCAAACAGAGAAGAGAAGATTACCCAAGGATGAGCAAGAGGGGAAATTGTGTTACCATGAATCCACAACTGCTTTGCTGCCGAGGCTGCTGCTGTTGCAACTAACTTGCCTCAATAAAAACCCAGGATCACACTCTACTGCTGTCACTACTGCAGCGTCTGCCTTCTGGAACAACTTCTCTACTATCAGGTGAGAATCTTTTTACTACATTTCTTAGACTCCTTAACCAACTGGTTTTCTGTTAGATTCCTTGAACCTAGGCAAATCTATAGAGACAGAAATAGATTAGAGGTTACCCAGGACAGAAACCCTGGTGGCATAGTGGTTAAGAGCTATGGCTGCTAACCCAAAATGTTGGCAGTCCAAATCCACCAGGTGCTCTTTGGAAACCCTATGGGGCAGTTCTACTCTGTCCTACAGGGTCGCTATGAGTCGGAATCAATTCAATGGCAATGAGTTTGTTTGTTTGTTTGTTTAGGTCTGGGGGTGAGTGATGGGAGGTGATAATGACTGCCAACAGGTATGGGGTTTCTTTTTGGAGAGATGAAAATGTTCTAAAATTCGTGTGGTTATGGAGTACAATTCTGTGAACATACTAAAGACTATTGAATTGCGCACTTTAAGTTGGTGAGTTGTATGGTATGAGAATTATAGCTTGATAAAGCTTTATTTTTTAAAAAGTAAAAGAAAGAAAGCGCATAACTTCCAACCTAGACAAGAGAAAAAAGATGACATGATTAAAATAAAACAAAAGCAAGAAAAGAGAGAAAAAGAAACAGAACAAGTGGGACAAATAGAAAGCATTAAATTAACTGTTAGACATAAATCCAAATATACATACTAAGAATAAATGTAAATGGATTGAATTCTTCAGGTAAGGACACTGTTACACTGGTTAAAATTTTTTTTTAATTCAACTATATGCTGTTTAGAAAACACTTTTAAAACATAAGAATTTAGAAAGAATAAAAGTAAAAGGATGGGAAAATATAATAAATAGTCACTCAATGAGAGCTGTTATAGCTATATTAATATTACACAACTAACAACAACACTGTCACATTTAGTCTTTCCTTTACTTTCATAAGTACTATGAGTCCATATGATACTAAAGAAATTTAAAAGTTGGAAACAAACTCACGTTACTACTAAACTAGTTCTTTTCTTTGAAAATTGCCAACTGCTGTAACTAGTCTGTAAATTGGCCCTCAGGGATCCCACCCTCCTGGTATTCACAGCATAGTGTTGTTCTCTCCAATATTGTACCTGGTTTGGTCTGGGTGGCTAATAGAATATGGCAGAAGTGGTAGTATGTCACTTCCAAGATTAGGTAATAAAACACACTACAGCTTCCATCCTGGCCAATCTTTCTCTCAGATCACTTGCTCTGGGGAAAACCAGCTGTCGTGTTGTGAATAGTCCCATGGATAGATTCATAGAGTGAAGAATTTAAGCTTCCTGCCAACAGTCACATGAGTGAGTTTAGAAGTGAGTCTTCAGCCCCAGTCAAGCCTTCATATGACTGCAGCCCTAGCCAACAGATTGACTACAATCTCATGAAAGGCCCAGGGCCAGAAAAATCCACCTAAGATTCCTGGCCCTTAGAAACGGTGTGAGATAACAAGCGTTGGTTGTTTTAAACTGCTAAGTTTTGGGGATAATTTGTTATGCAGCAATAGATAACTAATACCCCAACTAAAGGCATGTTCCCTCCTTGGCAGTAGGAACTGTATTTTTGTTGTTGTTTTTAGGTGCGGTCAAGTCAGTTCCGACTCATAGTGACCCTAAAGGACAGAGTAGAACTGCCCCGTAGGGTTTCCAAGGAGTGGCTGGTAGATTTGAACTGCTGACCTTTTGGTTAGCAGCCAGAGCTCTTAACCACTGCACCCCCAGGGTTTCTGCCCTGGGTAACCTCTAATCTATTTCTGTCTCCAGGAAGGCCAAATTTCCCCCTTTTTGTGTAAACATGTTAAGAAAATATTAACAGAATCCCACACCCCATCCTAACCACCAGTCCTGATTACATAGCAGGGACTCCATAAACATTTAGGGATTGACTAGTGGGCAGCTTGAAGTCTGAACTTTTGTTCTCAAATACTGGAAGCCAGCTTTCCTGGAGCCAGTACTTAGAAACAACCATCCTTCTTGCCCAACTCCAGGGTTTGTTGCCATATAACTTCCACTGTTCCTAAAAGGCCAATCAATAAGACCCCGCTCAATAGCCACTCAGAGTAATTAAATCACACAGCAACTCACCTGTAGTAATGTCTCTCCCACCATCATCCAATAAAATTAGAAGCATAATTTTAAGCTTCTACAAGCTTAAAGGTTGTTTATAATTTGAAAAAGACACAATAACAAATGTTGGCAAGGAAGTGGAGAAACTGGAACACTCATATCTTCCCGGTGGAGAATGTAAAGTGGTACAACCATTTTGGAAAACAACTTGGCATGTTGTTAGTAGCCATCCAATTGGCTCCCACTTGTGGCGACTTTATGTATAACAGAACAAAACTGCCTGATCCTGTGCCGTCTTCATGATTGTTGGTAAGTTTGAGTCCATTGTTGCAGTTATTAAACTTAGAATACAAACCAGCAATTCCACTCCTAGGTATCTCTATACAAAGGCTTGTGAGTGAATGTTCATAGCAGCATTATTCATAACAACCCAAAACTGAAAACAATGCAAATGCTTATCAACTGGTGAGTGGATAAACAAAACATGGCATATCCATACAATGGAATGTTATGCAGCAATAAAAAGAAATGAAGTACTGATACACGTTGCAACATGGATGAACCTCAAAAACATCCTGTAAAATGAAAGAAGCCAGATGCAAAAGATTACGTATTTTATGATTCTATTTACATGAAATGTCCAGAGAAAACAAATCTATAGGGAAAAGAAAGGAGATCAAGGGTTTCCTGGGGGTGAAAGTGGAAACTGGTTGAAAATGGGCACAAGGGAACTGTTTGGAGTGATAGAAATGTTCTAAAACAGGATTGTGGAGGTGGTTGCACAACAATAAATTAAATAAAATTGTATGCATTTCATGGGTGAATTTAATGGCAGGTAAATTAGATCTCAAAGCTGTAAAAAAAACTTTGTCAATTTAAAAGTGAAATCAAAGGGCAAGACTAAAACTTAGATAAGAGATAAGAGTATAGTGTCTAGAGGTTCACACTTGAAATTTTAAACTATAAAGAAATGTAAGGATGGGATTTGTATAAAAGTCAGGATAATGGTTACTTTTTGGGGTAGAGCAGAGATTGTGATTGGAACAGAGCACATGAGGATGTTATGGGGTGGCTGGCAAAGTTCTATTTCTTTACCTGGATAGAGTTTCCAAAGACTTTTACCTTCCAATAACTCATTAAGCTGTACATTTTTTTTGTGGAGTTCTCTGTTTATATTTTAGTTCACCAAAAAAAAAAAAAAAAAATTAGAGGAGACTTGGAAGAGGTAACTAAACATAAAATCAGTTGATAGCAACTGATTATCGGTTGTGTGTCTGTATTTGTAAAAATACAGATAACATGACATTTGCCAATTTGACATTTTTCATGTGATAGCATTGAGTTTTTGTTTATAGGGATGGAAAATTTGGCAATGGATATTGGTGATGGTTGTACAACATGATTGATGTAATTGGTTTTATGGTTCTGTATATATTTAATTTGCTTTTTCCTCTAATATATGGTTGACACACTTAAGTCAGTACATAGACACTGTTCATCTTTGATTCATTTAAAATAATAAAATATTATCATCACTAAAAAAATCACTATACAAAGAATCAATCACATTTTTATATACCAGCAAAATGTTATAAAATTACATTTTTAAAAACATACTATTCACAGCCCTCAAGCACCATCCCCAGAACAACTACGCACCTTCCCTAACTGATTCTGAGCATTCTCCTAACAGACATGTAAATACTGGCTGACACTCTTCACTCTGCCATACAGGACTCTGACCTCCAGGTGACCTACAGCCATGAAGACCCTCACCCTCCTCGCTGCCATCCTCCTGCTGGTCCTCCAGGCCCAGGCTGAGCCACTCAGACAAACAGCTGATGAGGTCCCAGCCCAGGACAAGACTGGAGTAGAGGACCTGGACGTGGAGGTCTCCTTTGCAGGATATGAAAGCTTAGTCCAAGAGGCTTCAGGTGAGATCAATGGGCTGTAGGGGGTTCTAGCTCCAGCTGTGCCTCAAACTAGCCACAGAATCATTAGAAAACAAAAGCACTGGAGTTGGAGGCTCTTCAAGGGCGCTTTCAGCCCCAAAGGATTTGGTTCCATAACTTGAGTAAAACTCAGACGCTTCAGCTAGGGAGATGACACCAGTCCTGTTAGAGGAACTTGTTACCCACGGAGGCCGTACTTGAAACAGGGATGTGTGGATGAGGCAGAATGAGAGTTTAGTAGCCCTGAGTTTGAGATGTGTATTCTAGGGCGTGGCAGTAGCATGTAAATGATAGACTGGTATAGGGGAAACTGATCCTCCATGACCAACACATAGCCAGTAGGATTTCTTTTGATTTATGACAAAAATGTAAATTCTGACTATCCTAATAGGACAGGTATTATGTCTATTTTAAGTAGACATGTGGCTTCTCAGCATATCTCTATTAGTCTGGCTGTGTCTCTTCTTTCCTCCTTGCCCACTGAGCCTGACAAGCCTCTTCTTTCCCCAGACCTTCAGACAAGAGCCATCTGCTATTGAAGAATCAAAAGTTGTGGTTACCCTGAGCGTAGCGTTACTACCTGTAATATTAGAGAGGGTCTCTAATCCTGTGTGACCAACATTGCTATTTATAATTATCCCTGTTTACCGTATTGAGGTTGATCATTGCTGTGGGCCCTAATTTAGTCAACATGACTCGCTCAATCCAGCATATGACTTCTCCAGGGTCCTCTGCTTACCACTCTCCCCTAACCCAGTACTCAATGCCTGATGCTTCCTCTGTGTTTTCAGGCGTAAGGAGCATCTGCTACTGCAGAATTAGATTCTGTATTGGACTGGAACGTCGCTTCGGGAGGTGCTACCTCAATGGTCGTGTCTACCTGTTTTGCTGCAGATGAGCTTCAAAAACAGACAGAAGACTCATACTTTGCTTTGAAGATCTATAAGAGAATTATTGTTATTCTTTATACCTTGTCCTCAATTTCCTTTCCTTATCCCAAATAAAGTCCTTGCAGCAAGTTAAAAAAGAAAAAAAGATATTATTAACAAAGGCATAAAAATATAAAGTGCCTAGTAAATCTAACAAAATTGTGTAAGATCTCTGGCGGGAAAACAATAAAAGTTTATTGGCAACTATTAACAAAAATTTTCTTTGACGTTTGAATTATTTAGAACTATTTCTTTAATTTCCAAAGGAATGTTGTCTTAGGGAGCTTTACTTACTGATTTCTAACTATTGCAATTTGATTAGAGAACTTGCAACATACATACAATGTTGCAATTGTAATTTACCGATGCTATCATTTTCATGCCAACTCCCAAAGACAAATAAAGATCGGATTTATAAAGATACTGATAATAAAAGGCAATAAAAATAAAAAAAAAACTTTAAAAAAAAAGAGGAATTTTGACTTACATCAGAACTGACATAGAACGGAGTTGTTGGAATAGAGCCCCGTCATTTGTAGTGGACAAACCGTATATTCAAAAGAGTTGAAAACCTGTTGCTGTTGAGTCAATTCCGACTCATAGCAACCCTATACGCAGAGTAGAACTGCCCCAGAAGGTTTCCAAGGAGCGGCTGGTGGATTCGAACTGCCAGTCTCTTGGTTAGCAGCCATCGTGCTTAACCACTGTGCAACCAGGCCTTCAAAAAACTTGAGGCAGAGTGTAAAAACGGTGTAGGGGAGGTGTCTGACCTTCTCTAACTTCACAAGGCGGAAAGAGAATCAAGATCAACAGGCCAAGGCTGATTCCTATGAGGCAGAGGTCAGACATGCCCCCTCTCTCCATCATCTTTACCAACTCTGACACCAACCGTCCCTCCCACGGCACTCTCTGCTTCTCTGCAGGGTTCAATAATTCACTGCAATGGTCACACAGAACTCACAGACCATATTTATGATTATGGAGTTTATTAGGGAAGTAACAGGTTGCAATTCAGGCTCAGGAACACTCGAGGATACAGTACTTCTATCAGGACAGCCTCTTCCCAGCCATGCTCACAGGCATGCCTCTCCCTTGCCCTTAGTCTCCGCCCAAAGGTACTCAGCTTTCTTGCTCCGTGGGCCGGGAAGCCCACTGCGCCGTCTCCTGCAGGTGTCTCCTGCCTGTCTCTCCTTCCTTGGTGGTGGTGAGCTCTTCTATTTCCTGCCTCTGGGGTGGTTCATTTCAAGTCCAGTGGAATGGCAAAACCGACCAGTCCCTTTGGTGGGTAATTGTGGCCACAATTAACCTATCACACAGTCCCACCCAATCACTTGGGTGGAAGTTACAAGACCATAGCCAGAAAGGCCACACAAAAGCAACCCATTACACCACAGGCCACCCCCTGGCTTTTCTAGCCATGGTTCTTTTATACTTGGAGGTTAACCTCCCCTCCCAATCATTTTATCAGTCCAAAACACTCATTAACAATTAGTCCTTCAGTAGGACAAAAGAGTCCTAAGGGTGAGGTTACTCAGATACCAGCCATTCAGGTCTGCTTTGGGTGTCCATCCGATTTGGTCAGGTTCTCCAACAGTCTGTCTTGTCTTCACCCTTTCTGGCCTCTAACAAAATTCAACCAAGACAAGATTATTCTGTTACTCTAAGCCTCACTCAAGGTATCAGCACAGCAAAACCTTTAAGAGACCTTAGGTTCGGCCACTGTACTACACTCCAGCAGTGCCTCCCCCTTAGTCCACTCTCTCACAGTTACAGCTTCTACAATAACAGTTTTTACAATCACAATTAACCCTTTTAACAATGAACACTCACGGCTGAATCATAATCCTATCAACATCTTCCCCCACCCTCTCTTTCCCAGACCCTTCAGGAAAAGAGGAAACTATTCAGTGGGGATCCTCCTGTGTCCCCCTCATTGATTGTAAGCACCCTCAAGAAAGCGTGTAAGCCAGCCACTTAATCATGGCTTTATCTCCCTCTGTTTTAGATAGCCAATGTTTAAATTGCCATCCCTGTCAAACCAGTACTCTGAGGAGACAAGCATGTTCCTTGGTCTTGAAGAATCTTCTGTTTGGGGTGGAACTTTGAGCATCTACATCTGATTTAGGAAATAATATTCGAGTTATTACTCCCTGTCCTTGAGCATGGACAATGTGACCCGGCTGGAGCTTGGCCCACGACTGCCCAGAAGGACTCACAAGGACACATCAACTGGGCCCTGAGGTATAAAGACAATAGCTAAGATAGTCTTGGAAAATACCTTTTAGGGAATATTTCACATAATGCTAATCAAACAGAACACAAAAGACTTTCCACCCTTGTCTTTTTCTATTAACATTTAGTGAACAGAAATTTGTTGGACTAATGAAGACCCTCCTAACTGTCGTTACTGAAACCTGTACCAATGATTGTTAAGAAAGACAATTCAAAATGTAGGATCAGTTTCTAGCCAATCTGTGAAAAAGTGAAGCTTTCAATGGTTTTGCCCATTTGTAATGTTAATATATACTGATGGCTCTGTAAGGGTTCAGAATGCTTGTCCGTTTTCCCATTCTTGCCTATTCTGTGATATTCTTTGGACTTGGACAGACATGGTTCTGGCAGCATGGTTGTCCGCTTCCCACTTTTGCATTTTTGAATATATGCCGAATAAAACTTTCTTTTTGCTTTACTGAACTTTGTGATGTTTTTACCCTACAACACATCCATAAGCAAAGTCCAGTCCAGAGCAAGCCATCATATTGCAGTAATCTTCATCACCTCATGGTGTCAAACATTTTTCTCTTCATTCGGTTGGGTTCTGGTCAGTTCATCCCTAGCCATCCAAGCTGGGTCAGCCTGAGGGTGGAGAGTTCGCTCACACCTACTGGCACTTCAGACAGCCCCTCTACACTCTCTTATCCTTAGCCCCTTTGGGCTAGGTCGTCAGGTTCCAATCATAAACTTAGGAGTCCACACAAAACTCTCTTTACTTCTCACCAGCCAGCCCTTCCTCTCTCTCTTTCTCACATCCCTACCCTCCATGAGCTGGGTCACCGCGTGCCAATGGAACATATCCAGACTCAGCCTATCTCTTTATTGCTGCACTTCCCCCACTTCCACTCATGAGTGGACTCAGGTTGTCACCACAAGTGAGCAGACCAAGCTGTCTACTCTCCGGCTCCTTTTAATTTCCAGTCCTGGAAGGGGGCTTCTTATGATGGACACTGACTTTTCCTGCCTCCATGCATCCAACAGCAAAACACTTGCTGGAAATTCAAAAAGCAAAACAGTCACTTTTTTTTTTCTTTCTGTAGTCCTTCCTTCAAATGAAAATCTTCTGTTCTCTAAGCAGTTCTGGGTGGTTCTGCATGTCTTTTCAAATGCAAATCTGGATGGGGCTTAGGTTGAAAACCTGAGCCCCTACTCTACACTCAGGGTACTCAGGGCTACTACATTCAAAGAGCCTGTGTTTTCCTCCAGGAAATCCTAGACCCTCTTTTTGCATATCCAATCAAGTACTGGCTGAAGGCAGAGTTACACACACTCTGTAATCGCTAACACCCAATATTCATTTCTACCATGCATTTAGGTCCACTTCACAACACTAAGTAGGAGAAATATTTAATATCCATAGTAAGTTAAATTAAACACATAATCCTGAATTCATAACCCTTTTTTTTTTTTTATATTTTATTGTACTTCAGGTGAAAGCTTACAGAACAAATAGTTTCTCATGAAACAGTAGTACACACGTTTTATGACATTGGTTAACAACCCCACAACATATTAACCCTTTAAATTCACAACCTTTTTTTTTGGTGAAAATACACATAGCCAAAGATACACCGTTTCAAAAATTTCTACATACACAGTTCAGTGACATTGACTACACTCTTCCAATTGTGCTGTTATTCTCACATTCTCACTTAAGATGAAGGCTTGCAGAACAAAGTAGTTTCTCATTTAACAGTTACTACAAATGTTGCCCTATGACAATGGTTAACAATCTCACAACACATCAACAATATC